ATATATTTTCCCTATATACATACATATTTACTATGACATATGTTTATATGTGTATATAAGCATACGTGTATGTATGTGTTGTTCAGTTGGGGTCCAACTTTTCATGACCTTGTGAACCATAACACATCAGTACTGTCCAGGGGATTTTCCTGGCAAAAATATTGTAGTGGTTTGTCATTTCCTTCTCCAGCAGATTAAGGCAAACAGTCACTTCCATCACTTCAACCTATTGTGCCTCTGTGTCTCACTTCTGGTCTCTTTCTTTCCTGAATTTCTCAGCGACAACCTCCTTCCCTTGAGAAGGTCTGCAGGAGGTGGTGATGATGACCCCTCTGTTTCTGCCTGGACTGATCCTTATTTAAAAGGCGTTCACCAAACCTACTCCTTCTGCTTCTCGGATTTCTCCACATAAGTAGATCTAATTAATATATGACATACCCTCCCCTGGCTCCTTTCAGCCATCCTTTTTCTTTTGCACAAAAAGAGTAGAATCCCACCATGTCTCAGGGATAAGCTTTTTTTTTTTTGGGGGGGGGGTTGTGGCTACGTTTGCCTCCTAGCATTAGGACCTCTGGTTCCTTTCCTTGTTTCTTAGGCACACTTTACATCACTGTGCATCCTTGGTGCATTCCTCTGGACCCACACCTGCACTTCTGTAAATGTCTCTTAGCTATAGCATCTCCAGGGCTCCATTAATCCTTAAGGATACCTTGAGGGCACATGGCTAGCACCAGCCCTGCTCTTCACAGATTCCTATGGCTCCTTCCTAGTCTTCAAACAGCCTCTCAAGTACACCCTTTCTGTAAAAACACCTCCCCTTAACCGTCCTTCCTTTCACACCTAGAAAGGGTCTGCCTCCTTCCCCTAGCTCCTCACCAGGCACTCACTCAATCCACTCCAAGCTGACTCCTGACCCCACTCATGGACAGACACTGCTCTCTCAAACGCTGCCAAAGATTTTCTCAGTCTTCATCCTCCTCGACTTTTCCATAGCTTTTAAAGCCACTGATTACTCCATTTTCTCAGATGTTCTTCCTTTCTTTGATGCTCTTCTCTCTCCTGTTTCCCCCCCTCTCTGCCTCACTGAGCCTTCTCATCTGTCAGTGAAAATTTAGATCCATCCTGATTCTCTTCAGGTAGAGGCGTCTGCTCAAGCTTTATCCAGGGTCCTCTTCTCTCTCTCTGAAATTTTGTTAGCTCCCCTGGGTCAAAACATCATCTCTATCCAGATGACATCCAGATTTATATATCCAGCTCTAATCTGTTTTTTTTTAAAGATGTGGGGTTTAGATCTTTCATCTCTCTTATAGAATCACACAATGACAGGATCCCACGCCTACAGTCAGAGGTCATCTAGGCCTATTCCTCCTTGAAGTATCAATATCTCTTACGAGATCCCTGACAAAGCATTATCCAATTCCTGTTCATATACCTCCCAGAAAAAACTCAGTACTTCACAAGGGAGCTCCTTCCAGAGTTTGACAATTTTAATTATCAGTAAGTTCTTTACATGAAACCAAAATTTACCTTTATATCTATTTGTAAAGTAGTTAGCATATTTCCTGGTACATTGTTGGTACTTAATAAATGCTTGTTACAATCCCAAAGGACTTATGATGAAAAAATGCTGTCCCCCTCCAGAGAAAGAACTGATGGTGTCTGAATACAGACTGAAGCATAGTATTTTTCTCTTTCTTTCTTTCTTGGTTAGAGTTGTCTTCCATAAAATAACTAATATGGAAATGTTTTACAAGATTGTACATGTATAAACTATATCAGATTGTTTACTATCTCTGAAAGGGAGAAAAGATGGAGAGATAGAATTTGAAACTCAAAACTTTAAAAAATGAATGTTAAACATTGTTTTACATATAATTGTGGAAAAACAAAATATTTTTTTTTAAATGCTTGTTACCTGCCCCCTTCCTGTCTACCTTTCCCTTCCCTCCACAGTGCCTAGCTCTCCCATCTGGACCAAACAGAAGAAGCTAATCCTTCTCTCTCCCCTAGACCCTGGGTTCTGGTGAGCTTTCACTTTATCTTCCCCAATACTGGGACTACTACCCTACCTCTCAGCCACTTCTGAGCCCTGCCATATGTCATCCTCTACTTCATGTTTTTGCCAAGATGTTCTGTCTTCATCTTGTAGAATCTGAGATCCTCAAAGGTGAGGAACGTCTTGTTTACTTGTAGTTGTATCCCAAAGCTTACTTAGCACAGGGTCTAGCACAGATCAAGCATTTTTTCATTCATTTGTTCATTCCATAAGTCGCCCCTTCAAGTATCTGAAGACAGTGATCATGTCCCCCTAAACTTTCTCTTCTGCAAACTGAATCTATACAGCCTCTGAATATCCCATTTTTCACATTCAAAGATTCTAAACATATTCCATTGCCTTGATTGTCATGATTTTTAGTGAATCATTCAACAAGACTGTTTTGAGTGCCTACTATATCTGATGCCTGATACTGCAGGGAGGTTACAGACACAAAGAATGAATTATTCTTTACTCCCAAGGAACTAACATTCTACCAGTAGGGATGGCATTTCCATATATAAGCATATAGAGATTAAATACAAGTGAAGACAACATACTTAAATATCCCCAGTGGCTCTCTATGGCCTAGAATAAACTACAGACTTCTCTGCTTGGCTTTGGAGACCTCTAATACTGGATTGCATCTTTTTATTACAGCCTCACTGGACATGACCTACCTATCTCTACTCCTCTCACACAACAAATACTCCATCTACTGTCTTGGTTCCTTTATTCTGTTGGTCCCCCATGCCTGGCATGTACTCCCTCCTCACTCCACCTCACTGCGTCCTTCTCTTCCTTCAAGGCACCATCTCCTTTTAATTTTAATTTTTATTTCCCAATTACATGTAAACAAAAATCTTTTAACATTCGTTTTTTTTTTTACTTTGAGTTCCAAATTCTCTTCTTCCCTTTTCCCCCTCCCTACTCCTTGAGAGACAAGAATTTGATATAGATTATACATGTGCAGTCATGCAAAACATTCCCATATTAGCCATGTTATGTATCATCTTCTACAAAGCAGCCAGATAGCTCTGTGGATAGAACGCTGGTCCTTCCAGTTAGGAAGACCTGGAATCAAATGTTGTCTCAAAGACATTGCAGCTGCTAGGCCCTGGGCAGGTCATTTAACCTCCATCTGCCTCAATTTCCTTATCTGTAAAATGGAGATAATAACAGCACTGGTAATAATAACACCTACATCATAGGGTTGTTGTGAGGATCAAATGAAATAGTGTTTATAAAACCCTTAGCACATCTCCTGGAACACAGGAGGCACTCCAGGAATGTCTGTTCCCTCTTCCCATTCCTTCTGATAAACACTTGGGCGGGTTCTTGCTGGCCATGAGTTCCAAGGTACCTTCTTACATCTCTCCATTTCTCTTTGGTTCCAAAGTCCTCTTACCCACCCTTTCCAATCTTAAAAGCTTTCTTCCTAATAGAAGACACAGATCTGAAATCATAACCCTTCCCCTTCTCATCCCAAACATAGTTCAATATATCCTTCCTGTGTAACTTATAACACTTCTTTAAGCCTCACCTCCCCATTGGATTTACTCTTACAGGATTCTTACAAGTCTGTGCTAGGGTGCTGGGGTTTTTTTTGGGGGGGTGGGGGTTGGATTCTTTCTTTGCTACATGCCCCTGCTTCCAATTAAACACATTATTTATTTGTAAGTGTGCCTTCACTCCCATGGCATCTGCACCCCCACCACATCTCTCTTTTAGATGCTTCTCATCTTTTTCCTCATTAGGACAATTCTCAATCCCAATATCAAAACCCTGCTGTGGAGAGCTTCTGGATCCTTCTGGAGTCTCTGACTATAGGATCATCTTTTCTCTGAGCTTTTTTGAAATTTGCTCTCCTAAAGTCTCTAACATGTGGCTGACCATACCCAGAATTCCCCTTTCTGGCTCTAATGAAGCCTAGGATGGCATGGTCTCTTTCTCTATAATTCTCATTGGTTAGGGGCAGAGGAACAGCCACTCTCATGACTTGCCCACCCTCTGCTCAGTCACTAAAAAGAAGCATAAGTGCTTACACAGAATCCATTTTATTTTCCAAATTTATTCTGCTTTCCAATTCTGTGCTTGGATAAAAAAAGTTACCTGGTTCTTTCAGGCTTGGAATTACTTCAGCAAGTGAGAGCCAAGTTTCCCCCCCCCCTCAAATCTTAGCTTCAGACTCTTGTCCTACATCACACACTTTGATAGAAATACAACTGGGATGAGCACAAATAATTAGAACTCACCAAAGGTGTGACATTAGAGCAGTATTGATTTCTTTGTTTGTAAATGTGTTAACAGTTGAGTTCTGCTGCTAACACAATTTAAATTCACTTCAGTAAAAGCTAAGTATCATGTTCAACATAATTATGAGAAACAGATGGACTACAACCAAACCAAATATAAACACAAGAAAAATTAATCTCTATTTTTCCCAAGCTGTGAATTCTTGAAAGGACTCTAAATGAGTACAACAAAAGGTACTCATTCATTCATCATCGTTCATTTCCGTTGTTGCTAAATGTGATGAGAACACACATCTAAACTGACACCAGAATCTGGCAATGCTAGACATTTTCCTCTCCGTACAAAAGCTAGAGTACTAGGCTCAACCCACTGAACTTCGGGTCGTCGATATTCCTGGATAGATCACTCTGAGCATTAAGTTTCCGTCATCCTTGCTGTATGACCCACCCACCATCTTCCTTCCTGCTTATCAAGCAGTTTCCAGCAGAAGACACCTCAGAAAGACTCTATCTACCCAAGTGACCTTACCTTAAGACATTTGCTATTCTGCAGATCTAGCAGCATGTCAAGGAGCGCTTCCGATGTCAAATAAAATGGCAACACAAATGTGCATAAAATAGCATCCTTGCTGAGAGGAAATGTTCTGGAAAAAGCATGTGCCTGTTTAAAGAGAATCTGCACTTCCAAGGCGTAGTTCCAAAGAATCCGGGAGGCGTTCTGAAGTAAGGTCCAGTAGCCACCTCGATGAGCGAGAACCTAGAACACAAGCAACATGCAACACTGACTTACATTTCCAGAAGATAGATATGAAAAATATCTTTCTTCACTGAGTTATTAAAATACATGTGCACCTATAGAGACTGCTGGTAATATTTCATTCTTTGCCTAATCTAGCTAACATGAAATTACAGGAACATTCTTTAAAGCATCTATGTAACATGAAAAGACTTTCAAAGAAATTATTTCTAATGTATACCTAATAATGTGTCTAATGCACATCTTGGCATGAATCAAAACAGCTAAAGCTCTAACTAAAAGTAGTGCTAAGACACTGAAATATTTTTAACAAGCAATAATTTTTCAGGCACCATATTTTTTTCTAACAGTCTTATATCACTTATCCATAATTATTGTCAAAATGCAAAGCCTACATTAAAAGGAAAAAAAATGCCCAACTTCAAAGCACATTCTGTAGAAAAAAAGCAAAGGGTTCCAAGACCAAATAAGAATCAGGCTAAGGATATAAATTCTCTCATTGAAAACATTGGCATAAATTTCAAGGTGCCACCTCACATTTCAAATCTAGCCTCTGACTAGCTATGTGACCTTGGGCAGGTCATTTAACCTCTGTTTGCCTTAATCCACTAGAGAAGGAAATGGCAAACCAGTATCTTTGCCAAGAAAATCCTGTGGGCAACACTGGTGTGCTATAGTCCATGGGGTCACACAACAGAACAATTGCCCAACAGCAACACATTGTTGGTGGAGTGGGGAATTGGTCCAACCATTCTGGAGAATAATTTGGAACTATGCCCAAAGGGCTATAAAACTGGGCATACCCTTTGACCCAGAAATATCACTACCAGGTCTATGTCTTAAAGAGATCAAAGACAAAGGAATACATGAACAAAAAATATTTATAGCAGCTCTTTTTGTGGCGGCAAAGAATTGGAAATAGAGGGGATGACTGAACAAGTTGTGGTATGTAATTATGATGGAATACTATCATGCTATAAGAAATGAGGGGCAGAATGGTTTCAGAAAAACCTGGGAAGATGTACATGAACCTATGCTGAGTAATGTGAGCAGAACCAGAAGGACATTGTACACAGCAACAGCAACATTGTATGATGATCTACTATGAATGACTTAGCTATTCTCAGCAATATGATGATCTAAGACATTCTGAAGGACTCATGATGAAAAATGCTATCCACAACCAGAGAAAGAATTATGGAGTCTGAATGCAGGTCAAAGCGTACTATTTTTGGTGGGTCTTTTTTTTTTTGTCTATGTTTTCTTTCACAACATGACTAATATGGAATATGTTTTGCGTAACTGCACAAGTATAGCCTACATCAAACTGTTTGCCTTGTCAAGGAAGGGGAAGGGGAGGGAAGGTGGGAAGGGGAGAATATGGAATTCAAATTTTTAAAAAGTGAATGTTAAAATTGTTTTTACATGTGATTGGAAAAAATAAAACGCAAAAAATATTTAAAAGTAGTGTGCCATATTGGAAAGATTGTTCGATCTAGAGTCAGAGGATCATGGTTCAAATGGAGTCACTACCATTCACTGGCACCCTTATTTTGAGCCAGTCACTTAACCTTCTTTATAGTTACCATAAACTAGGATGAGTTTTCTCACTAAAGAGACGAAGCCTTGTGCCAGCAAGGATATGAGCTTGCTGGGAGAGAGAACCCAACTCTTTGGTTCCTGAGAATTTGGTGTCTGGAGCTGAGAATCTCTTGATGGTTAATACACAAGCCTCCAAGGTAAAACCTAAGGTCAGCACTAACTGGAAAACCTTCTACTGGTCCTTAGACAAGGGTGCTTACTCTTTCTAAATAAGCTAATTGAAAGAGCACAGCAATGTATTCATTGAGGATTTCAGCTGAGCTGGAAGTTAGATGTGGGGAAAACTATACCTGGAAAAGCTTCCAGAGCAGCTTTAGCCAAAAGCATTTGGTGGAGAGGCATACAGCAGAGCACTGTTCAACAAGGACAAGACATTGGGGTCTCTGTGGCCCTGAAGCCCCATGGCCACAAATGTCTGCTGCAGATGTACTTCTCTGACTGGGACCTCGGTGCGTGTCCACTCTCCCCACTGTTGCTAGGTATATTTGTAGGACAGTGTGCCCCAGGTTTAAGGGGGAAAGGTTTGTTGCTTCTCTTTTTACTGTGATAAATGCTGGTGATTTGAAGAAGAAAAAAAAACTTCTCCTCATCTATAAAATAGGGATGTCAGCCTCAATGCCTTCCAAAAACCATTCCAGGTCAATGTCCACAATCCTGTGTCCTCCACCCAAGCAGTCTCCCACCCTGATGAAGTCACAGGTATAGCCCAATAATGATGATGATGAAATTGCTGATGACTCTCTCATCCACATTTCTGCAGATTTCAGACCTGCTTCCAAGTCCAAAAGCAAAATAGAAAATTAAAGCAATGGTTCACTTTGGTAAAAGGAAATCTAACCCAAGCAGACAGTAGAGTCCTTCATTGTTTCCAAAAGTATTACAGACTGAAACAAATATTTTCTGCAACAAAATACTGATGTAAAGAAATTGAGTCTTGGTTTCTTTGATAGAGAAGGTTTTTAGAGTAGACAGACAACTTCAGAGCTGCCCTCAGGGTCTAGAACTAGGATCCTATAAAATCTGTAGTCCATAGAATAGACAGCTCTATGTAACAGGGGTGATCCATTTCGTCTAAAGATGTGTGAATTTATCCATTGGGTAGAGAGCAGTGACATGCTACAGTATAAAGGATGTTGGCTTTTATGTCCAATGACCTTGGTTCAACTCTCAGCCCTATCACTTGCTTCCTACATAACAGTGAGCCTTAACCTCTCCAGGCCTCAGTTTCCTCATGTATAAAATGAGAAGAGTAAACTAGGCAGCCTGTTCAGCTCTCTAAGATCCTATGTCAAAGTTTCCCCTCAATGGTTATGCCTGTTTCCAAGAAATAGATGTATTCCTAACAAACCTGTGTGGGAACCAAATTTTTATAAATATTAGTTAAAAGCATTAAGCACCATTATTATTTAAAGGAATCCCACAATAAATTTTTGTAAAATGAAGAATTCTCTTATAATATCAATAATCATCTCTCAGTTCCTCTGTTGGGTAAGTCATGATCTCTGTACATAAGGCGTTTCTTAAAATAGGGTAATGGTAATAATATATTATCACAATAACATATAATAAAAATAAGAATACTTAATTTTTATTTCATCTCTCAGTTTATGAATCATGCAATTTCCAAAAGGCAACAGGTAAAAAAACATTTATTCAGACTGAATTTTAAATCAATCCCATAAAAGGGAAGTATACTGTCTCTCATTTAACCTAAGACCTCAATTCCATAGAGGTTTTTTTTTTAACTTCTATAAAATCTGACAGAACCACTGTCACCATCTGTTCATTTAAACACATGCCTGATAACATGGGATGATCAGTGGGATAAGTGTAAAGATCATAGCTTCAAGTACAGAGAGTAATTAATGATTACTCCATTTTTATATCTTCTCAGGTTTCATTGGCCTTGCTTTATAAATGTATTAATGATCGTTACTTGTTACATCAGTTATATCTCCACATGGTCAGTTACATCACAGAGTTTGGTCAACATAGCAAAAATTCTGTGTATGCCACAGAGGACATTTTAATAAATTGTCAAAGGTTTTGTTGACATAATTTAGGTAATGAGACCACTGAGGATCTTTGGTCTTCTTTTCATTCTCCAGACAGGCCAGCAGTCAACAGAAAGCCTTTAAGCCTACACTTTAAAGCTATTTGTATGTAAGAAAATCCTACTCTTGAGGGGATGAGGGGAGAGCCAAGCTATCTAGCATAGCACCTTATATAAAATTACCGACCACAAAATCTAGAAAGGACTTAGAGATCACTTCATCCAATCCTTCAGTTGACAAGCTGAAGGCACAGAGAGATAGTTACTTGCCCAAGGTCAGAGTTAGTTTTCCTAATTGATTCTTCACTTCAGATTCATTGCCCCAAGTAAGAGCAACAAGGAGAAGAGGGCTGGAGACCATGTCATACCATGACATATCAACACTTGACGGAACTGAGAACATTTGGTCCAAAAAAGAGAAGGCTCGGGAGATTGTACTAGCTATCCACAAGGATCACCACGTGGGAGGGAAATTTAAATTGTTTTTCTTAGCTCTGAAGGTCAGAACCAAGAATGGTAAATAATTATTAGGTGACTGTATTCTGGCTTTATAAAAGGAAACACTGCCTGATAACTAGAGCTCTCCACAAATGGAAAGAGTTGTTTCAGAAGATAATGAATTCCCTGCCATACCATTATGCAAGTGGATCTGATCTTATCAATGCGGATATTACTTCCAACAATGCAGACTGCAAACAGCTGAGCCTACTGGCTGTCCCTTCTTCTTGGACATGAGCAGTCCGTCTCTTATCTCTTCTCCCGTCAGACACTGTTCTGGTGACATCTTTCACACTCCTTCTCTGTAATTCTTCCTTTGTACCAAGTTCCAGCCTGCTCACACACCCCCTGTATGCCTTTCCACTGCCCAGTGGGTGGTCCTCCACTTCAATTCTACGCAGATTATCGTATTCCATGACTGGTGGCTCCACAGCATTGCTAGAGAACATATCCATGTTCCCATGCAGTAGACCACTCTCTTCTTCCTCCCCCTATTCAGTTGTTAGCTCGTTTTATCTATTTGCAGTGTCCATCCTACATTCTGGGTAAGCTCTCTAGCTTGTCTGTCCAACCGCCAATCAGAATCTGGACACTAGGCAGTCCACTTTGTTTCGCTCCTTGCGCATAAAGAGGCCAAATTCTTTTTCGGGCCAAACCTCCTCAGTTCTATGCCATTGTAAGTTCTCCCTTCCCAGAAGTCTCCTGACCTCTTGTCAGGAGGGCTATAGTGAGGATTCTTTTTCAGGAATAGGTTGGACCAGATGACCTTTAAGGTCATTCAACGCACTCTCTTTTCATATCTCTCTCCAAAATTCCTTATCTTTTTTCTAAGGCTCAGCTTGGGCACCCTCTCCTCTCTGAAGTCTGGTGGATCTCCTCAGGCATTTGTGCTCTCTTCCTCTTCACATTACCATGGATTAACTTACCTGTGAACATACTGTACCTCACATAAAATGGAAGGGCCTTGAGGGCAGGAACTGTTTCCTTTGGGCCTGCATATCCCCCAGGCCCTAACACTTGTCCAAGGTCACATAACCAGTGTATGCCAGATGCACTTAATAAATAAATGTATTTAGATAGTTTCAATTATGGCAAGAATGTTAACACTAGAATGTTTCTGTTCCCCCAGTATATCAATTTACTGGGCAAAATTCTAACATTTAGAGTAGGAAGATGTGAAGTTCATGTTTGAAGGAGGTCTAGAAACTCTGGGCTTTCTCCTTTCTCCCACTGCTCTGTCATCACTGCTACAGAAGAGGGCCACAAGGCACCCAAAGCCATTTTGTCCATGTCACACATTGCTACGACCTCTAGATTCATTACCCAGTGGCCAACCTGATGGTCATGAGCCTCTCCACACCTGGCTAAGCTGGTCCACTGACAGCAGGCTTGGTTTGTCATCAGGCATACACTACAATCCTTCCTTGCCTAGTCAAATCTGATAGGAAAGGAATTCCACTGGCAGAGCTTTTGAGGGTCACCTCCATGACATGATGGAATCCAACAAAAGCAGGAACCCAAAATATTTTACAGCCACAAACAAAATCCCAGACCTATGTGACTGCTGGTAGACAACCAAAAAAGAGAATGCTTTTCCCCAGATATCTAGTAGATATCTAGCATGAGGGGGTTCTACACCTATTTGTAACCCCTGTGCTTCCTAGACAACACAGTTCAAACCTGGTGGTAGGATCACATATCTAGGGCTACACCTCAGAGTCCTATCGCCTCCTTTTACAGATTAGAGGCTGAGGGATGTCACAAGATTATTGATCTGGAGCTTAAAGGCAACTTAGATGCCTTCAAGTCCAATCTTATCATTTTATAGATAAGGAAATTGAAGAACAGAGAAGTTCAGTGATTTACCCAGGATCAGAGAGCTATCAAGAGCCTGAAGCAGGATTTGAACCCAAGTCTTTCTGACTTCAAGTCCAGTGCCTTGTATGTTTGTTGACTGACTATCATGATGCCATGGTTAAGTGACTTTGCCCAGGGTCACACAGCTATGAAGGGTCTGGGGAAGGATTTGAACCCAGGTCTTCCTGAATTCAAGTCCAATGCCCTAGTCATATTTGAGGGGAGGGGATGAAAGATTTCCAAACACATGAAAAAGATATGACCAAGTTGAGCAACACTTGTTCCATCTTTATTTCAATGCTCTTTTCAAAGAAAATGCTTAATAAATTAGTAAATGAGATTAGGAGATTACCACTGCTCTTCTGCAATGCAAAAAGGTTCTGACAAGGTGGTCCAAGACTCCAAGATTTCCTGTTCGATCTTTCACTTCAGTGTCTAATTCAGTTGAAACAATCACCTTAGGGCTTTCTGCTCCACCCATTTTGGAGCTGCTAAAAGAAAATCCATCAGTATCTATGGGTAAAACAAACAAACAAAAGGATCAGTATTAAAGAGCTGATTATGTTCCCTGAATAATTCAGACTGAATACTACATTATAATCAATTAGAGCAAAAAATGCCTACTATGGTATAGTAAACCATAATACATTGGTGGGGGTTTTTTCTCAAAACCCTCCAGCTCATCGCACTTCCAGTTCCATTTTTTTAATGTGTTCATTCATTCAGCAATTGTTTTATTGGGTACTTATTATGTGCAAATCTGTGCTGCATTGAGTATGGGTTACAAAGATTACCCAAGAGGGGGTTCCTGGACACAAAGATTTTACAATTTATGAGGGAAATGAATGAAATGGTCCTTAAAAATAAATTTTTGGGTTCTTCTCCTGAGATTAAAATCTAGGGGACACCAGTTGAACCCAGACACCATACAACAGGTCATCTGAAAGTTCAAAGAGGAGGAAACTTTCCTTCTGTATCTCTTCCTAGACTCACTGCATCAATTGAGACAATGAATGATTCAGGCAACAATGATGGGCTTTGTGGCTGATGGAGGTGCCCAGAAAGTCACAGGCCCAGAGGACCACAAAGAAGCATCAGGGATCCCCATGGAGTAATGTTTAATGCCTTCTAGCTTCAGCCAACAAATATTTGTAAAGGACCTTGCCCAGTCTAAGGGCACCTTGGGGCATACAAGACCTCCCTCAAGAGTCTAAAACTGAGCGAGTGTATGCTAGAAAAGGTCCAGATTATATTGATTAACTAGGCTTTCAGAGGAGATTGGGGCACTTTGTGCACTACTGAGTTTGTGGCATGACTCCTGAATGGTGGAGACCACACTGGCGGGACTCTAGCCACATATCCACCTAATGGGTACAAGGGAGACGTGGGCAGAGGACGCTTCACCAAGAATATGGAAGCTGTAGATATATGGGCGAAGCTGGCTACCCAACCAGTCCCCGGTTTCTAGCTTATGCCGCTAGAGACTGTGGAGACATTCCTTTGGGGGAGATACAGCTCCCCTCTGTTCCAATCTAAGCTCTCATCTTACTCTCAGCTAAGGATCTTACTTACACTTATATATCCTTAGGCATGATCTAATCTGCATAATTTATATTTACTATTTTGCTTGGATAAATGAGTTTATTCTGCTATTCACTATTTGTCTTTTGTGTGGTTCTACTCCCTGCATAGAAGTGGGCAGGCTCTCAGATTCTAGATATCCATCCATGCTAATACTCATTAATCGCATCCATATGGACCTTATGTGGGCATACGCTATACATACACTCTGTATACACCATAAGGCAAGCACACCCACATTTTCATAAAGTGATGACTGGGCAGGGTTTAGATAAGCAAGGCAAATAAAAAAATGCTGTGAGAATTTTGGGGGAAAGAGAGATAACTGTGCTAAGGCAATCAGGGAAAATGTTCCACTGACAACTTGAGCTGGGCATTGAAAAATGGCTGTAATTTGTATAGGTTGAATGGATAGCAAAGTGCATCCTCTCCAGGCAGTAAAAAGCAGCATGAACAGAGATACAGGGGCTGGAAGACATATGCCATATTCTAGGGACAGGGAGTAGAGTCTGGCGAGAATCCCAGCCTCATTTCATACCCCAGGGAGGGGCATTCTACTCTTCCCTCAAAGCATTGTGTCTAAGCACAGAGAAGATTTCCCTGAGGTATTCGCCTGGCCTCCGAGCTGGGTATTAGATAACCAGGCTCATTAACCAGATCTAGCTGGTCTCAGTTTTCATTAAAGCCCTGAAAGAGGGAAATTTTAAGGTAATCAGAGCTCTACGTATTACGGTCCATATGCAGAAACCAGACATTTGTAAATGGGCTTGGCATCTGTGAAAACACAATAAAAAGAATGAAAGTGGATATCTCAAAGCTTAATTGAAAAAAAATCCAATTAAAAAAGTGGGAATACATATTGTGACATGACTACAGCAAAAAAGCACAGGGCATAAGCAAAAGTTATGAATAGTTTTTTTTTAAACTTTCGCTCTAAAATAAAATTAAAAAACAAACCCCAAATACAGAAATAGTTACACCAACAGGTTCATGTAGTAACTGCCAGGATGACAAGAGTTATATACCATATAGGATGTTATACAATATGTACCATATGAAATGCTATTTTCAACATAAAAGGACTGAACAGTCATTTCTGAGCTCAAGAATTCTGCTGTTCTTGCACTTATGGGCCCTTGACCTCTCACACAAGCATACCAGAAAGGAGACGGGATGACTGAGAAGGCATCAGAGGAGGAGCCAGCTTTCGCAGCCCTGAGGATTCCAAGTCATCTCAGTCCATAATGGCCTTTGGAGGGTTTTCTGAGCCAAAATCCCAAGCTACTTAGCCAGCAGGGTTTGGACACCAGGAGAAGCAGGGCACACAGCTCTTAGATACTTTCCCAGAGGCTGGGCTTGCTGGCAGCGTACAGACACAAAAGGTTTCAAGTACCCCAGGAATTCATGATCTGTCCTTCTCCCTAGCACTGGCACCAGGCTGGGCTAAAGCCTCCCCACCCTAGTCTGACTCCCCAAACCAAAGCTAGCTCTCCATCTTAGCAGAACCCCAGGGCAATTCTGAATGCCCTGACCCAGATGGACTGGCTGGGCCCTTGTGGCTTGGATACATCATCTGATCAGAGCCAGCTGCTCAGAAGGATCCAGGGCAGACCTTCCTAGCATCCACGCTCCTGCTCTTCCTGGCCCGCATATTCCCACTGTCTTGCTTCAATGTTTTACCCCTGATGCTCCCCAATCCATACTGCCCTTGGGAAGGCGGATAGATTCTGGGATCAAATTCCCATTCTGCACCCCACCACCTTGCTGTCAGTTCTGCTAATTCAGGAGCAGGCCCTGAAGTAGGCAATCCTCCCAATGTCCCACTCATTTCAGACCAACATACTAACATCAAACCATGAGGTGATAAATGAGGCTGAATTAAATACAAAAACTTGGGGCAATCCTAAAGAATGTTACCATTTCTCTACCTAAGAGGTTGGGTCTTGTTTTGCTTGAAAGTAGGAATTCAAGTATTGCTTTGTAGCCTTCCTCATTAATGTTTTCCTCCGCTAATAACGTCCCAGAATTGTATAATGAGAATGTATCAGGGTCTAAAGTTCGGAAGCTGCAGAGATGAGAGAACAAGATTAAAACCCAGCAGAAGCCAAATGCAATGAAATCTTGTCAAAATGTGAGTCTACTTTCATTTCAAAAATGTCCATGAGTTGCAGTGAAGGAGATTCAAAACCAAAATGGCAGCAGTGAGTCTGGTGCAGAACCTGGGGGAGAGTGATCTGTAAGGGAATTGCCTTGTTGTGGTGGTCCTATTGCTCTTATCTTCTAACTAAGGGTTTTTATTTCACCCCAGCCCCACCTGGATCACTGCCTTGTCACGGTGGAGGGCCTTGTGTAGCTCAACGAAACCACGAGCTATGCCATGCAGGGTCAAAGTGGAAAGTCTGACAAAAGGTGATCCATTGGAAAAGGAAATGGCAAAGCACTCCAGTATCTTTGCTAAGAAAACTCCAAGGACAATATTAAAATGATAAAAGAGATAACACCAGAAGATGAGCCCCTCAAGTCGGAAGGTGTCCAACACACTACTGGGGAAGAGCAGAGGAAACCACAAGTACCCCCGGTACTAATGAAGTGGCTGGGCCAAAGTCGAAAGGAAGCTCAGCTGTGGATCCATCTGGTGACAAAAGGAAAGTCCCACGCTACGAAGATCAGTAGTGCACAGGAACCTGGAATGTAAGCTCCATGAACCAAGGTAAACTGCACGTGGTCAAACTGGAGGTGGGAAGAGTAAACACTGACATCTTGGGTGTCAATGAACTTAAAATGGACAGGAATAGATGAATTTAATTCAGGTAGTCATGACTTATACATCTGTGGCCAAGAACCCCTTAGAAATGGAGCAGCCCTCACAGTCAATAAAAGGGTGAGAAAAGCAGTATAATCTCAAAAGTGACTGAATGAGATCTGTTTGAATCCAAGGCAAAGCAATCAACATCACAGTTATACAAGTGTATGCTCCAACCACTGATGCTGAAGAGGCCAAAGTTAATCAGTTCTACCTATGACATCTTCTGAAAACGACACCAAAAAAAGATCTTACCTTCATCACAGTGAATTGGAATATTAAGGTAGGAAATCAAAAGATAAGTGGAATAACAAGGAAGTTTGGTCTTGGAGTACAAAATGAAGCAGGACAGAGGCTAATAGAGTTTGGTCAAGATAACTCACTGCTCATAGTAAATGCCCAAAAGGTGACTCTACACATGGACTTTACCAGATGGTAAATATCAAAATCAGATCAATTATACACTCTGCAGCCTAAGGTAGAGAAGCTCTATATAGTCAGTTAAAACAAGACCTGGAGCTAACTGTGGCTCAGATTATGAGTTTCTTATTGCAAAAGACAGATTTAAATTGCAGAAAGCAGTGAAAACCATCAGACCGTATAGGAATGACCTAAATAACATCCCTTATGAATATGAAGTGAAAGTGATGACTAGATTTAAGGAATTAGATCCAGTAGATAGAGTGCCTGAAGAACTGTGGACAGAAGTTCACAATATTGTACAGGAGGCAGCAACAAAAAAAACATTTCAAAGAAAAAGAAGAGCAAGAAAGCAAAATGGCAGTCTGATGAGGCTTTACAAAAAGCTGAGGAAAGAAGGAAAGCAAAAGGTAAAGGAGAAAGGGACAGATATAGCCAACTGAATGCAGAATTCCAGAAAATATCAAGGAGAGGTAAGAAGGTTCTCTTAAATGAACAATGCAAAGAAACAGGGGGAAATAATGGAAGGGGAAAGAGAAGTGATCTCTTCAAGAAAATAAGAGCTATCAAGGGAACGTTTCATGCAAAAATGGGCACGATAAAAGATAAAAATAGCAGAGACTTAACAGAAAAAGAAGAGATTAAGAAGAGATGGCAAGAATATACAGAAGAGGGGCAGCCCTGGAGTCAGGAGGACCTGAGTTCAAATCCAGCCTCAGACACATGACGCTTACTAGCTGTGTGACCCTGGGCAAGTCACTTAACCCTGATTGCCTCACCAAAAAGAAAAAAAAAGAATATACAGAAGAACTATACAGGAAAGACCTTAACATCACCAACCACAATGGTGTAGTTACCGATCCAGAGTAAGACATCCAGGAGAGTGAAGTCAAGTGGGACTTAGGAATCCTTGCTAATAATAAGACTAGTGGAGGGGACAGAATTCCCACTGAGCTATTTAAAATCCTAAAAGATGATGCTGTTAAAGTGCTGCACTTAATATGTAAGCAAAATTTAGAAAATTCAACAGTGGCCAATGGATGGGAAAAGATTAGTTTATGTCTCAGTCCTAAAGAATGGCAATACCAAAGAATATTCAAATTACTGAACAATAGCACTATTTCACATGCCAAAAAGGTTATGCTTAAGAGTCTGCAAGCTAGGTTTTGGCAAAGTGCAAACCGAAAATTATCAGAAGCGCAGGCTGGTTTTCGAAGAGGCAGAGGAACTTGAAATCAAACTGCCAACATTCACTGGATTATGGAGAAAGCAAGGGAATTCCAGAAAAGCGTGTACTTCTGCTTCGTTGACTACAGTAAAGTCTTTGACTGTGTGGATCACAACAAAATGTGGCATGTTATCAAAGAAATGGGAGTACCAGATCATCTTACTTGTCTCCTGAGGAATCTGTACATGGGCCAAGAAGCAACAGTTAGAACTGAACATGGAACAACGGGTGGGGTCAAAATTGGGCAAAGAATACAACAAGGCTATCAATTGTCACCTTCTTTATTTAACTTATATGCAGAGTACATCATGGGAAATGCCTGGCTAGATGAATCAAAATCCAGAATTCAGGTTGCCAGGAAAAGTATTAACAATCTTTGATATGCAAATGATACCACTCTGATGGCAGAAAGTGAAGAAGAAATAAGAAATCTCTTGATGAGGGTGAAAGAGGAGAATGTAAAAGCTAGCTTGAAGCTTAACATAAAAAAAAAAAACTAAGATCTTGGCAACTGGTCCCATCACTTCCTGGCAAATAGAGGGAGAAGAAATGGAGGCAGTGCCACATTTTATATTCTTGGACTCGAAGATCACTGCAGACTTTAGCCGTAAAATTAAAAGATGCTTGTTCCTTGGAAGGAAAGCTATGGCAAATATGGGCAGTGTATTAAAAAGCAGAGATATTACCTGACTGACAAAGGTCATATGGCCAAAGCTGTATTTCCAGTAGCAATGTATGGCTATGAGAGCTGGACTATAAGGAAAGCTGAGCTCCCCGCAATTGATGCTTTCAAATTGTGGTGCTGGAGAAGACTTTTGAGAATCCTTTGGACAGCAAGGAGATCAAATCAGTCAATACTCAAGTAAATCAATTCAAGTTATTCACTGGAAGGTCAAATACTGAAGCTGAAGCTTAAATACTTCGGCCACATAATGAGAAGATGGGACTCATTGGAAAAGACCCAGATGTTGGGAAAGATTGAAGGCAAAAAGAAAAGGGGACAGTAGAAGATGAGGTGGAGAGATGGTGCCATGGAAGCAACAAACATGAGCTTGGACAGACTTTGGGAGATAGTGAAGGATAGAAGAGCCTGGAGTGCTGTGGTCCAGGGGGTCACAAAGAGTCAGACATGACTGAACAACTGAACAACAACAAAATTTCACATTAGAAGCAGGTCCTCAACACGTGAGATCTCAGGTCCAAAATATCTTTCAAGGGGGTTCAAATTGAGAGAATAGGATTTGAAGGTCATGGTCACATAAGGAAATGTGAAGGAGTTGGTTTATTGTTTGGAAACCTAGAAGTCACTTTATTGCTTTGCTGGTTGGTGTTTTACCATAGCACCCAAAATACACAGAAACCATGTCGATGTGGGTAATAAGTCATTTTACAAGGAAAATACTCCATACCTCATCGCATTTTGTGAACTGCAAACTTTCATCTTTTTATGCTCTGCGAGTTTGATTTTGAATAAGCTGAAATGAGCATATGCCAAATGTACGTTCATCTGAGCTCTCCAAGGTAACTCTTCAACAAACAATTGGTGCAATCTTTTTCTTTTTACATAGTGAACCACTTTGGGGCACAAGAATTCTATCAGGATTTTAAAAGCTATTTTTCTAACGTCAGTTCTTTTAAATCTGGAGGAAAAAAGAAGAAGCAGGGATTTCAAAAATCATATAAATACTAAATACCAGATAAAAGAAAAATAATAATATTTTGCATAAAATATATCCAGAAATTCTTATTCTAGCTTGTTGGTTATTGAACTATTTGGCCTTTTCCTTGGGGCCAAAGCACTAGATCCTATAAATACCACAAAAATACTATGAAACAACAGCTATAGCTATAATACCAGATTCCACAAACGTGGAAATGCAAGATATCCAGAGACATATCTGCAAAAGGCTAAATGACAAAGAAATTTTCAAGCATTAACACTAGTACAAACAATTACAAAGTCAAATTAAAAAATGGATGACTCTGAAAAAGGTTTTTAAAAATTATGGAAAGTCAGCAAAAAATAAGATGCTTTAAAAAATCAGTAGGAAATAATGAAGAAAATTACTGCTATGGAGAATTTAATAGAAAACCTGAAATAATCAATCAAATCAACTAACAACACTTACTATAGCAGAAAGCAGAATTATGGCCAAACGTGGATCATTTGGAGGAAATAATAGTTGCAGAAAAATCACTGATCTGGTCAGTTGGAAAACAGGCAGAATTGAGTAATGGATCCAAAGGATAGATCATAATGTGGCAAATTCAGAAGTGCTGACATCTCAGAAATTTTAGGAAAATACAACAATTTTGATACAATATTCCAAAAAAGCAATGGGAACTTCCCAGAATTAGCAAAAACAGTTTTGAATGTGCAAGTAGAAAGAATTCTGAAGTTTTCAACTTCTGACTCCAAGAACCCAAGGTTCAATATCCTTAGACACATTATAATCAACCTCCAACATTAAAATAAGGGGGGAAATTCAATCTACCAGTAAGCAAAGGTTGCCTATTAAAAACAAACCAGGATCATAGAGAACTCAACAAGGGTAGGGAATAATAAGAGAAGCTAAAATACAATTTATACAAGATAAAGAAGCTGAGACCACCAAGTCAGATCTATCTATTCAGAAAAATCTCTGGATGCTCTCTCTTTCAAGGAAAGAGATGGACGGGTACTCAAAAAGCAACTCAACTTTTATGAGTTTGGAGAAAGGTATAGACACCTCAAGTCTTTCACAAGACCCAACAAGATTCGGGCCTCACATTCAAAAAGATAAGTATTTAAAACAATTCAGACTTCTCAAATAAACCAATTGATAACAGTGTAAGAACTCTCAGGATATAGCAGAAATGAGAGGGAGGGAAAAAAACCCTTTAGAGGTGTGGAAGGAAGAGGAAGAGAAGAAGCTAGGTGGGAAAGGGAATGAGATTGAGGCAAGCCCAAAACAAAATTCATCTTTGAACAATGAAAAGTTCAAGTTAAAGATGCCCACATAGTCTAATGGGAGAAAAGGAATTTTTTTTCCCAAGTGGCTTTGTTAAGTTTGAGTTAACAATAGAAATAATAAACACAACATAATGTGTATTCCCTTCCAATTGAATTTGTAAAAGGTAAAGCTAACAATTGTAATGCTAAATGAAAATGGACTAAACTTTTCAGTAAAAACCAGAAGAAAATGTCCTAAAAACCATTGCCTTGGAGAAAAGGAACATTTTAAAGTCAAGTGAGTTGAATAAATTACTAGAAACAAAATCAATGGGTTGATTACACTCAGGTAAATGAATTGTCCATGGCAGCAACAAAAGGCAATGCAGCTAAAAGTAAACAAAAGAAACTGATATGGGGAAAATATTTCCAGTATATATCTCCATATGTACATTATATACATAGATTTATGTCGCATATAGTTAACTGTGTCTTAGATCAATGTCTAAACCCAGAATTTATTAAAGTTTGATAGATAAATTGTAAGACAAATACACAGCTTCTCAATGGAGCAATGGTCAGAGGTTATAAATACATAAGATATATATGTATAAAGGATATAAAAGAATATATACATATATAAAAGATATAGAAATGATATAAAAATGTAAGAAAAATTACATTTAAAGATGTCAAATTGACTTACACTCAGAAAAATGCAAATGAAGGCAACCAAAAGATATCATCATATGACCACTAGAATAGCAAAGATAAGGAAAAAAAAAGAAAATCGTAATGTGAGTGGAACTGTAGAACAGGTACTCTGATATATTGGTGGGAATGTAGATTGGCACAAACATCAGTCAATCAATCAATAAACATTTACTGAGCACCTACTGTGTGCCAGGCACTTTCAGAAGTAACCTGTGACTATAAAATGAATCACAAAACTGAGTGTCCCTTTTGACCAAGTAACTCCTTGAATAAACCTTTACCCTCCAAATATCATAAAGAAAAACTATTATTAGTTCATATCTGGCCCAGCCCCACTCACTCAGACTATACTTTCACTTTCCTGCCATACTTGTTCTTTCCCAAAGGGACATCTGGGTCCCACCCTGGGGCAATATTGCCTTGAGCAGTGACAGTTGGTTAAATTTAGGCCAGCCCAACCACTCAAGTAAGCATCACAGCTGTCTTCTTGCTGTTCTGACAATACATAATCCACTCCCTTTCCACCTCAGGCTCTTGGGAGGGTAATCAAATCCATAAAGTGTGTGTCAATCAATTACCCTCTGGATCCACTCATCTTCTGTCTCTGAGACTTCTCAGTCCAAAATCTCTTTCCCTGGCTACGACCACCCCATTTGTATCTTTTCTGTTAGAATGTAAGCCCCTTCAGAGTCAGGGCTGTCATGTTTTCTCATTTGGATCCTCAATGTTCAGCACAGTGCCTGGCACTTAGTAATCAATATCAATCCAAAAGTACTCATAACTATAAAAAAAATACTCATTCTACTTATTCGTAATAGGGGGAAATGATTAAAAATCGCGTGTTGAATGACTGGAGAATACTGCATAAATAATAACTCACTGATAGAATCGTATGATGGAATAAAAATGAGAGGCATAAATACAAAGAAACAGGGAACGATTTCTACTAAATGACTATAAGGTGCGATTAGGAGAAGCAGACCAGCATATAGATAGCTCAACTCCAACTATACCTCAGAAAGCAAACAAAGCTTAAAGCACCAGAACCTCAGCCAGACTTGGGAAGGATCAGAAAGCAAACATATTTCTTATATGTTCGGGTGTTCACACTTTGTTTGGTTCTATCCTATTAAAATGATAAGTTTTATTGATTCTCCTCTGCTGATTTATGTTTATTTAGTTATTTGCCTTTATAAATAGTTCCTACTTTTGTAATAACTTTTAAAAATATCTAGGTGAATATATGAAATTGTTTACAAATGTGTTAAGTAACACATTTAGTCAACTTGAAAATCAAACCTCAGAAATCTGTAAACGTGAGCAAATGCTCATGTTCAACAACTAAGTGCTATGTTAAACAAAATATGAACACCGCAAACAATAAAAATGGCCTCTAGTCACTCGCTATATTTACTTGTAATAGGAAAAAACTATCAACAATTTGTATGCACAAGGACTGCAGAATGGATGCAGAAATTGAGTCACTGATATAAGGGAATGATGGGATACATTAAAAATGAGAAAAATCTATAGAGTCATGAATAGTTTGGTACCATTAACCGAACGAAATGAAAAGAGAAAAAAATTATCCTAAATATGTTACATATTAGCACGTGTGTAAATATAGAAATTAATAGATATTAGACATCAGACAAATGAAACTCACTAACTTCATTAAACACACGCCGGATGTGTCCAGTATCAGTTACTGTTAGAGATGTAGGGTTGGAGATTTCAAGTGACTCTATTTCTACCGCAAATGTCAAAGTACTCTATCTTCATGTGGCACCCAGAGGATAGTTGATTTCTGTTTAAAATGCTTAATGACATTTTAGATACCTTAATAGCATTTAGACTCTCAGTGGACCAAGGAATCAGGAGTTGCCCACAGCAGGTTAGCTTTCACTGACCTAGCAGAAATACTACTGAACTAGTCCTCCATGCCCAAGTCTCAAAGCAAGTCAGCTCCCTGAACATGGTTACAACAAGGTAACTGAAGAGAATTCTGGCATGAGCACTTATCTGTGTGACCTTGGACAGGTCACTCAACATCCTTGAGCCTCAGGTTTGCTCATGAGATCTCACTCTGAGATACTCTGAATAACACAAACTGAATGTGCCTTGGATTGTTTCTGCAGGACATGAGACATCTCAGAAAGACTGATCACAAACCAAATAGGAATAGCAGCTGGGAAGAGAAGTCTCAGGCTATTTCTACAGGATGGCTCCCCTAGTCAGGGCGTCACCTATGGGGCCAGGAAGCCGGCCTAACGGAGGGAGAGGCAGGAGGCAGAATGTGCCGGCCAAGTCAAACCACCATCACCATACTACCTTGGCCACCACGTCCCCTCATACACAAAAGAGATAGTCCAGGACTCTGTACCCAAGAGCCTTGGGAACAGCAGTGCTTTCCAGATCCCTGCCTCTGCTTCCTGGCCCTGAAGCCATCACTGCAGAAAAGGGGCCCATCTTCCTTTCCACCACCAAGCTGTTAACCAACTGCCCCCAATGTGCAGGCAAGCCCAATTGGCCTGGGAGATGCAAACTGCCCTTCCTCTCCCACACATCTTTACCCCAAATGCTGACAAGACACAATGTGCTGCTTTTCACCTCACCCCAACAAGCATCATCCTACGCGGTAACACCTATAGAGGTGCAGCCTGGCCACCACTCACTCCTGCAGGGGCTGCAGTCACAGCTACCAAAGACCCAGAAAGGGAAGCTATCACTGTCCCAACTCCTTGACTCTGTCAAATGGTTCACCATCAGAAACCGATAGGATTTTATGAGGGGAAATTACATTCAAGAAAAGCAGCTTTGCTGCTGCACCTTAAAGACCATGGGATGGACGGTTCCATCTGACTTGTAAGGGAAACCTTTCATGGGTTGTCTCCCCCCTTAGAATGTGCTCTCGTAGAGAGCAGGGGCTGTCTTACTCCTCAGCAATTAGTACAGAGCTTTGCACACAGTAAGCACTTAATAAATGAGTTTTCATTCACTCACTAAACCCTTATCTTGATACCAAATAACATTGCTCTTCGCAATAACTGTATAAGACCAAAACTTAAACACCAGCATTGTCATCTGTCATTCGTTGCTTAAATGTTACCTGCTCAAAGCCACAGGATGGAGGAGAAAGTACCTCTCTCACCATCGTCTTATATAAAAAAATCAGCTCCCATCAATCCATGTAAGTAGTTTATTCATTCACAAAGATACTATGTTCGAAACAGATTCAGACTCAGATTTCTCTGAATCTCATGCCATTGCTATGCTAGCTGAATGATGTTACTTCATGCAAGGAATAAAGAATTATGTGTGTGAATGAGAGAGAGAAGAAAGAAGAAGAGGAGGAAGGGAGGGAAGGGGATAAAGAGACAGAGGAAGAGGAGGGAGGAAGGGAGGGAAAGGGAGGAAGGGAGGGAAAGAGAGGGAGGGGGAAGGGCATAGTCATACAGGGTATTTAAGCTTTAATAGCTTAAAACTGCACTAAGACTTTTTGGGACACCCAGTATATACGCCTGAACTTTTGATTATAATGGTATAGAGAGAGAAGCTCTCTCTGCCAGTGCCAAGGATCACTAAAACTCTGCATCTTGAGTCTAAGAGTTGCATGGGGCACTGAAGTTAAGTGACTCGGCCAGGGTCACACAATTAGTATGACTCAGAGGTCCAACCTGAGCTCCTCTTGGTGTTCCCCAGTTCAAGGCCCAATCCCCTACACTAGGGGCTAAAATCCATAACATGGGAGAAGAACTCCATCCATCTCTAAAATGCTGAATATATATAAGAAAGACAAATGCCATTGAGCTTGTTACCTTTAAAATTCTCTATAAAATATATTAATGTCAAAAATATGTAAAAGTTAGAGGCTTGGAAACACCAGCTAAAAAAGTGTCGGCCTGGACTGTAACATAAATACTCTTAAACCAATAACAAGTGTAACCGCTTTCAAAGTTTGTAAACAAGAAAAACCAATACCTAGCAAAACTTTATCATGCAAGTAAAGTGATTTGGGATTTTTATGATTTAGAAAATAGACACAAATACATTTCCGGGAAATGAACTTACTTTTCCAGATCTGGTAATTCTGACAGTGAGAGGTGTTTGGTAAAATACTCTTGCAGAGCACCCTTTTTCTTGGTTTTTGGCTTCAAAAATGGTACCTCTGTGGCCTTGGGAGATAACAGAAACAGCCAATTATGTTAGAGACTAAACAAACTTTCAATAGAGCAATTTGGGCACATTTTTAAAGCTAATTTATCATAGGCAACTACGATCCATTGCTTTCACCATACAGCAAAATGGAGATCGACATCAAAAGTGTTTTCTAAAGTTCCATATTTGGCAAAAAATTTTTTTTTTAAATCTGAAGTGCTGTAGTAGGGAGAAGGGGTTAGATTTGCATTGCTTGGCACCAGAGGGTAGACCGAAGAATAATAGAAGGAATCTACATAAAGGCAGATTTCATCTCAATATAAGGACAAACCTCCCAATATTTTCTTCCTGTTGAGTCATTTTTCAGTCATGTCTGACTCTCCAGGACCTCATCTGGGGTTTTCTTGGCAAAGATACCAGAACAGTTTGCCATTTCTTTCTCAAGCTCATTTTACAGTTGAGGAAACTGAGGCAAACAGTGTGATTTGCCCAGCTAGTAAGTGTCTGAGGCTGGATTTGAATTCAGGTGCTCCTGACCACAAGGCCAGTGTTCTATCCACTGCATTACCTAGCTGCCATAATTATGAAAGTTATTCAAGAGGGACCTGGACTTGGCAGGATGATGAGGCTAGAAGTAACCAGTACAGCACCCTCCACACACAAGAGCATCTCTAGGACCTCTCCATCCAGGGGGAATCTCTCTCAGTCTGCTAATACTATTAGGAAGCCCATGTCTCTGTAGCATGCCTCTCTCAGTATTAATAATCAGTGAGACAGTACATGAGGTCAGAGATCTATTTGGGTAGGAGAAGTGTCTTCCCCAGAAGATCACACATGGATGTGAATGAAAAAGAAAAAAATAATTAAAGAACCACACAGAGTTGTTTTTTTAACTAAACTCAGATGAAATTCAGAAGGAAGTGGACCAGGGAGTGTCCTGGAGAGGGATAAGGGAGGGCTGAGCAGTAATTGAATGCAACCTTTTAAATCAACCACCAAAACCTGAAAATAAGGAAAGGGGTAAAGCTCCCCACAAAATAGGCAGGGTGAGATACAGCCAGTTTTCTGGGAGTCAGAGATCTGGGGGAGGCTCCCCACAACACCCTCTAACACTGGATTGGGGATGAGAGCTGTGGTGAAAGTACTTGGCCCTTGCTAATGTATATAATCAGGTCACAGTACCCCCGGGGGATGGGTCACATTTCTGTATTAGTTATTACGAAACAAAAAAGGGTTCCAAAAATATGAGCAAGCAAAAGACAGAGAGACACACACACATACAGAGACAGAGAGACAGAGAGAGACAGAGAGACAGAGAGAGACAGAGAGAGGGAGAGAGACAGAGGGAGAGAGAAAGAGAGAGATGGACAGGAAGAAAGATAAAGAGAGACAGAGAGGGAGAGAGGAAAGGAAGGAAGGGAAGTGAAGGGAGAGACAGAGAGAGGGAGGAGAAGAAGAAGAAGAAGAAGAGAAGAAGAAGAAGAAGAAGAAGAAGAAGAAGAAGAGAAGAAGAAGAAGAAGAGGAAGAAGAAGAAGAAGAAGAAGAAGAAGAAGAGGAGGAGGAGGAAGAGGAGGAAGGAGAAGAAGGAGAAGGAGAAGAAGAAGAAGAAGAAGAAGAAGAAGAAGAAGAAGAAGAAGAAGAAGAAGAGGAGGAGGAGGAGGAGGAGGAGGAGGAGGAGAAGGAGAAGAAGAAGAAGAAGAAAGGAGGAGGAGGAGAAGAAGAAGAAGAAGAAGGAGAAGAAGAAGAAGAAGAAGAAGAAGAAGAAGAAGGAGAAGAAGAAGAAGAAGAAGAAGAAGAAGAAGAAGAAGAAGGAGAAGAAGAAGAAGAAGAAGAAGAAGAAGAAGAAGAAGAAGAAGAAGAAGAAGAAGAAGAAGAAGAAGAAAAGGAAGGAAGGAAGGAAGGAAGGAAGGAAGGAAGGAAGGAAGGAAGGAAGGAAGGAAGGAAGGAAGGAAGGAAGGAAGGAAGGAAGGAAGGAAGGAAGGAAGGAAGGAAGGAAGAAGGAAGGAGAAATTCAAAACTAAGCTTATTTACCACATCAACAAAAGAAACACTGATATGTATTATTGTACATAATGATGTTATACCTACACTAGTTATAAAAGTGTCACTTCAAGAAATATACATATCTATTGTAAATTTAAATAGATTTAACATCTCTCCCGTTTTGATGTTGCAAGTTATATTTTATTTTATTTTCAAAAGCAAGTTTTATGGTAGGAAAATCTTTAGATTTTTCTCCATTGTATTCATAAACTGCTCTTAGGACTAAATAGAGGAGAGAATTGTTGTTCAGGCTTTCATTGTTTCTTTTAAAATGAGAAAAAAGACGTGAGATTTACTTTTTGAATTTCCATGGCAGCTGCCTTGTACTTCTTTGGGTCTTCATGAGCTGAAGTACTTTCTGTACCTGAAACTTTCTTTATTCCAAGAAAGTTGTCATTTCTCCTAATACAGAAACAAAGTTGTCAGTTCTCCTAATACAAAAATAATAAGTTAGTCATAGCCTAAGGAGTCAAATTAGGAAAACTATACATGTCTTGTTGATGTATTCTTATAGCTATTAAGGCAAAATGATTGCTCTCAAAGCATTCTGATTTCTCAAAACATACAAGGAATTTGACTAGAACTGGATTATGGGCCTAAAAAAATCCCACCAATCATTTAATTTATCCAAGGAATTTCAACAGAAATTAATAGACATTCAGCTACTGTACTCCTCCTGGTCACACAAATTCAGTGGGTATAGAAAAGGAGATTTTCACTACTCAAGAAACAAGGATGAAAGTTTGTTGAAAAATTATATATTACTAGATTATGTGCTATTTTTGTATTATATTATTTATATATATAAATTAGGCATTATTAGATTATGGATTATGTGATTTTATGTGTTAGCACAATGTCTAATATATATTAGGCATTTAATAAATTATTACTGACAATAGAAAAAAAGTAAATGAAAATCTCTGAATTATTTGTGGCTTCAACATGTTGTCTGGGAGAAGGATTTCCTTGTTTTGGTGATCACACATTAGGTTGCAAGATCTACAATTACGACCCGCAAGAAAAATCCAACAAAAGGGTTAGATTTCTCAATATTGACATTACAAGTACCTTTTTAGGAAGTTTTGAACAGTATATGACATGTCCACCACATAGTTAAATCTCTCTTCATGAATACATTTTGTCATAACTTGAACAAAGAATTCCAGAAAACGGGGCTTATTCTTGAATTTCATTACTGTATAAGCAACAGAAGTCAACACATCATTATGAAACCATTTTGTTGATCATGAGCTACTTTATGAATTTACCTTTTAGATTTCTCATCATACAGAAAATGACTTAGTAAATGACTTAGGTGATACTGTCTGAGGTCCAACAAGCTGTCACTTTCCATCATTCACTTTCTAAACACATCAATGAGATCAGCCCATGAATAAATACTCTTACAGATTTTATTCACAATATGATTGGCTGAAAGAGCTAAGAAAAGGATGCCTATCCTTTGAATCAGCCGGATACTTTTTGTGAGAAATGAAGCACTGATGACACAAAATATGATTTAAACACTATTGGAAGAAGATTGTAGAAAGGCTCTTGTTGGTGCACAGTTGCTCAATAGCAAAAGTCATTAAGAAAATGCGACCCCATGGAGGCCCCCCAAGACTTTGCATCTGGCATCTGGCGGCCACAGTCCCTTCTGTTTAATGAAATCAAGAGCAAATCCAGGAATGATAAGCCCACAACGCGAATGATAAGGAACCAAAAGGCAGTTACCTTCTTTCATGGCACCTCTGAGTGTCCAAGTTAAAATTATAGGGTAGAGAAAAAGGGGGTCTTCTGCTCCTGTGAGTTCAACAAAGGGATCTAAATTAAAACAAACAAACATGAAGTTGAATATTCTAAGTAATACAAAAACAAAGATGGATAAATTATGTCTTGGGGTGACAGAGAAGAAAAACTTAGGTGTCTTCATTCTGCATAATGTGTTTTAAAGTATAATTTTCTATCAAGAGAGTTTGGGAGACAAAGGGAACCCAATGAAATTTTCGATATTAAAGTCTATTATTTTCAGAATATCGGACAGTCTGCAGTTATGTTAAATGAAATGTTATAAGGAAATGTAGCACCCTGTTCAATAACAGACATGTATAATTGAACGCAAAACTTAGGAGCCCCAAAATTATAATAACACTTTGCTTAACATACATTTTAAGCCCCAAAATTATAATAACATAGATTTTAACATAACAAAGGAGAGACAGTGTGACCCAAAGGATAGAAGACTGGACAGGGAGCCAGGAGAACCTGAAGTCGAGTCTTAGCTCTAATATTTACTTGCTAGGTGGCTACAGGCAAATCATCTATCCTCTCTCATCTTCCATTTCCCCATCTGTAAAATGAGGGTAATACCATTTGTGGTACATAACTCACATGAATGCTGGGAGATTCAAATGAGATATGTGTAAAGAGCTTGATAAGCGTTAAAAGGCTACATAAATGTCATTTACTATAACTGTAGAAAAAATAAGGCTTTATTGTACCTAATTAGAATTCTATTTTATTTATGTTGCAACTGTGATTAATTCATATTTCTACAATGCAATTAATTTTTTTAAATGTTCTTTTTTCAATTAACAAACAATTATTCTCTCTCTCTTTCTCTCTCTCTGTCTCTCTCTCTCTGTCTCCTCTCTCTCTCTCTCTCTCTCTCTCTTCTCTCTCTCTCTCTCTCTCTCTCTCCACCACCCCCATTATGGAAAAAAAGAGAAACCAAACCTGTAACAAATATGCCCAGTTAAGTGACACAAATTCTTCATTGACTATATCCAAAAATATATGTCTAATTAAATGTATTATATTTTCAAGGTGTTTTTATTCATTTTTATAGAGTATAATCAGAGTGAAGGTTTATACTTCTCTAGGCTCTTTGATGACTAAGAAGATGACTAAGACGGGGGGGGGGGGGGGGGGGGGGGCCGGGAACGGAAGTTCAAAGCTGTGACTTCATTGCATCAAACTCCCGGGTAGGGAAGCTCCTTCCACTGAGGACCAGCAACTCCTTTCTACCTTAGTCAGCTGCCTGGGGCAGTAAGAAGTTGGGTAACTTGCTTGTGGTCACACAGTTAGCAGAGGTAAGAGACAGAATTTGAACCCAGATCTTCCCACCTCCAAGGCTGGCCCTCTAGCCACTCCATCTACCATGTCGACAAATGAGGGAAGAGAAAAAGACAAAAGCAGACAACTGGGAGAAATAGGTCACCGGGACGCCATCTTGTCAGGCACAGAAGACACGACAGTTGAGTGGGCCCCCAAGGAGAATGACAGCCATGTTCACCCATGGTCACACCCCTGACGTACTGGGCACCCAATGCACACAGGGCCTTCCCCAGGGGCTCGCTGCCTTCCCAAGGCCAGGTGAGTTCACCCACACTCTTCCAGTGGCTGCTGCAGCCCCACACAAGCAGCTCAGAAAAGTCCTCATCCCTAGGGCCTTGGTTCCATTTCATTGCTTCACACCCCATTAGAGGCTGAGGGTGCCATCTGGCAAGTCCACAAATCTGCTCTGTTCAAGAAAAAAACAAAATTCTGCCCATCCAAATAAGACAGAGTACTGATGTGGAATCAGGAGGACTCATTTTCACATTCAAACCCAGCCTCAGACATTTAACTAGCTGTATGACCCTAGGCAAGTCACTTAATCCTGTTTCCCTCAGTTTCCTCATCTGTCAAATGAGCTGGAGAAGGAAATGGCTAACCACTCCAGTATCCTTCATCAAAAAAAAAAAAAACAAATGGGGTCACAAAGAGTTAGCCACAACTGAAATACCTGAACAACAAAAAGGACTTTACAAGCATTTAGTCTTTATCTTTTGGCCAGTAGGCGGTGAAGTAGGTAGAGTGCTAAACCTAAAGTCAGAAGACTCATTTCTTGAATTCAAATCTAGCCTTTTCTAAACTTAATAAATACTTACTAGCTGTATGACCCTGGGGAAGTCTCTTAACCCTGTTTGCCTCTGTTTCCTCTTCTGTCAAATGAGCTGAAGAAGGAAATGGCAGATGACTCCATTATCTTTGCCAAGAAATTCCCAAACGGAGTCATGAAGAGTCAGAAACAGATGAAAAAACCGAGCAACAGAAATGTTCAGGGCTGGGCCGGGGACCCTGGCCTATTATCAGATGAGAACAGTCCCGGTCCTTTTTCTACAGTTTCTGTTCAAATAAACCACTTCTGTATGGTCCCATTGCCCAGTGCCCTTCCCAGATGCTCCTCGTTGCTGTCTTTGATGAGAAGATCCCCGAATACAAAAAGAAAGTAAAGCAGAGGCACACAGAAAGCAAGAAAGCTCTTACTTTGTTTCGTCAGCTTGAGCAGCTGCGTTTCCATGAGGTTAAGCTGTTCACTGATTTTGTCCGCTATGACAATCTGTCCCTTGGACTTTTTCGCTTTCTTAATGAGGACGCCCTAGGACCATACCATCGCAGAGAATCAGAAACGTCAGTTACACTCTATTGCTAAACATTCCACCACCACCCCCAAAACAGAGAACATGTCTTCAAAATCTGGTTTTTGTACTTAGCAAATGAAACTAAGACTTAGCAGGCTACAATGTACATAGCTTAGCTCCATGATTCTCCAACCTTTAGCACCTTAAACAAAAATTTGGTGGTGTCCTTGCAATAAAATACTTTTGAATGCTGATAATAATAATACTAAATTATAAGGCTGATTATTTAAAAGCTTATGTTTTCAAGTCATTTTTTTTCTAAGCCTAACAAAATTAGAGACAGAATTTTTAGATTTGATTGCATGCCATTCATAAGTGATTTCTATTTGAGGACATGAGTATGAGAGGTCACATTGCTAATTTTCATATTCTCCTTTAAGTGACAATGTGATTAATGAAAGTCCCAGAGAATACTGGTTTATGTAAATAGAGGAATGAAAAGTTGCTTTTTACAAAAAAAATTTCCTGTTCCGTTCATAAACACCGTCTTACAAAACAAAAAGGTAAGAAAGTCCTTTGTATTCCTGTCTTTTCAAAATACTTGATTTTATCCAATTTATCCAATTAATCCAATACCTATGAAGGGTACTGATACAGAAAAATAAAATTTTAAAAACTCAAATATAGACATCAGTTATTTTACACACCCTTTGCCAAAAATGGGCCATTTAACTGATGGCCCAATCTGCTCCAAAACTTATTGTGTGCTTTTGATGAGTGATTCCAGGCTAAGAGGCTAATTTCTCAATCGTGTGATCAACTCTAGCCAGTTCAATGTATACTTTGTATGGGAAGAACACAGAGGACAAATTTCATGAGACTGGTGCATGTCATTGTTCATCATTACAGCTTAAGTAAATAACTTACAAGAATCAGTTGTCTAGTGTGAAAGAACTGTAGTGCCCAAATTGAGTTTCGGTAATTCAGAGTGAAAATGGTCATGCCTAAGAGAATTGACAACAGGTCTGCTATTACTGTTCTCACTGACTCTCCTGGACCTATAGCACTCAAGAACTGAAAGGCATAAGCTTTGAGGTCATTTCATTTAACCTCCACCCAATAAAAAAAAAACCAAACATTCTTCGCCATCCCTGATATAGAGGATAATTGGATCCTAAACCAGGAGTTGGAAGGGGTCTTGGAGGCCATCTGGTCCAACACCTTCATTTTACAGGTGAGGAAACCTGGGGGTGGATGACAGGATCAGGGAGCCAGAGCTAGTGCTGAAGTAGATTTCTGTAGCACGGAATGGTAGAAATTGCTATGGGTTTGGAGTCAGAGGGCAACCTCACGCTGAAGCTTGGCTCAGACGCTTAATATCAGTGTGATTTTGGGCAAGTCATTTCATTTCCTTGGGCCTCAGTTTCCTCACTTGTAAAATGGTCTGCAAGGTCCTATATACACACACACATATAAACACATCCATATATATGTGTGCATACATGTGCATAGATGTACATGCATATATACATATATGTGTGTACAAAATGATGTATGTAGACATGGATACATGTATATATGTATATATACTGGTAGGTCTATGTGTGTGTATGTATTTTCATATATATATATATATATATATTGAAACCCAAACTAAAAATCAACATCCAGTTTTGAGAAGGGAAGTTGTGCTGTCCATACACAAAAGTTCTTGCTGTGCAAACTATTGTCAGCGCCCCTCCAACTATCATACATTCTTTACAAAGACCCAAGAAAGCACCTACATGAAGGAGAAATGGAAGATAAAACAATCACCTCCTCTGTCACTTCTTCTTGCTCATCATCACTAAAGGAAGCTTGACCAACATTTGAAAATAACCCTTGTGAGGTGTCCAACAACTTTTTCCCAAAATTTATAATTATCACTGCAAGGTCAAATTCCTTCCAGGAACGCAGCACCTGGAAAAAAAACTATTAATTACCTTTCAGGAATGCACCTGGATCTTTTCAAGTAACATGCATCATTTTCTTTTTTTTTTGAAACGTTAGAAGACATGTGAATTTTGGAAGTGTGAGAGCCCGCTGGCATGCAGTGATGACACTTTTAAAATTATCAGGTTTACTGACAAACACAAGTTGTCCAAGAATTCAGCCTCTGATCACATTTGTCGAAAATCAATGAAAGCTAATCTGTACGACTTTATGGAATTGAACCTTACTGAATGTTTTGTATGTCCTTGGGCAGGACACATCCTTCTGGACTCGATTCTGCTAAAAGTGAACACTTCTATGGGCCTTATTTATATGGTGCTTTAAGGTATGCAAAGTCCTCACTTCCAATTTTTATCTCATTTGATCCTATAGCAACCCTGGGAAACAGGAGGAATTATTTTTTATCCCCATTTTACAGGTGAGAAAATTGAATCGGAGAGAGTTTGGGGGATGTACAAGGTTATAGAGCACAAGGCCTGAAGTCAAGAAGACTCATCTCCCTGAATACAAATCTGACCTCAGACACTTCTTAGCTATGTGACCCTAGGCCAATCACTTAACCCTGTCTGACTCAGTTTTGCCATCTGCAAAACGAGCTGGAGAAGGAAATGGCAAACCACTGCGGTATCTTTGGCAAGAAAACCTCAAAAGGGGGCAGCTAGGTAGCGCAGTGGATAGAGCACCAGCCCTGAAGTCAGGAGAACCTGAGTTCAAATCTGACCTCAGACCAAACACTTGACCATACTAGCTGTGTGACCTTGGGCAAGTCACTTAACCCCGATTGCCTCATTAAAAAAAAACTCCCAAATGGAGTCACAAAGAGTCAGACACAACTGAAATGAATGAACAACAAATAACAGCCAGGGTCACAAAGTTGATGAGTATCTAAGACAGGCTTCAAATTAAGGTTTTCTTGACTCTGAGGGCAGTGCTATTATCATCCAGCTGCCTATTCATTTTGTTAAGTTTTAAGGAGAGTTTAGTAAAGACTTAGAAGGCAGTATGAAAGGGGACTGCCTAATTCTCCTCTGCATTTCAGTGAAAATGCAAAGCTGAGCCACACATAAGGAGATAATGCTTCCCTGCTGTAGAGCCTTAACCTGAACCCCTGCACCAGACTCCTTCCCAGACTGACAAGGGGACGACTGCCTATAAATTGTGCTAGGCAAAGTGACTGGAAAAGATGTCTCTGAGCTTATTCCTGAAGCACTGATGGGAGCATCATGGACAGAAGACAAGGCGTTTCCTGTGCCACTGAGAAAATTCCTGATGACACGTAAACCTAAGAGGATCCACTCAGAGAGCAAATTTTCTTCCTTCTATTCCATGTCAAACTATGAAGGAAGGACGTCTTCAAGGGCAGGTGAGTCCAGATTGCCAATCACAAGCTCATTATGAAACGGGCCAATCATGGAATTGTTGAATCATTGTCATTAACACCAGTTTTAGGAAAGTTGAGGCATAACCTCATGAGATAACAACTTTCTTCTAGGTTGGAGAATCATGCTAACTAGTAAACTGATGCAGCAGGAAAATGTTTTATGCTAAAAGGCAAAGATCAGATGATTTCTATTTCCCTCACTTGTTGCTTGCCAACATTATCTGGGGCCTGATTTTTATGACATGTGGTATTCTCTTCCCCCTTACTTTTAGCATGTCGTAGTGAAAGGCTGTGTAAATGTTGAGGGGGATTTCCTCTTTAGAATGAAGTTCCTGGAGATTTCTCTGTGTGCGTGTGTGTGTGTGTGTGTGTGTGTGTGTGTGTGTGTGTGTGTGTGTGTGTATGCAATGATATTTCATGTATCCACCAAGGATACATGAAGGACTTAACCTGTGATTTCCAGTATTAAGAATTTCTGGATAAGGAAACTCCTAGTCAATACCCTTCCTGAAATTTTTAGTCCTAGAGTGCTGCCAGGGGCACAGAGTCACACAGAGGAGACATAGAACCCAGGGCTTTTTAGCTCCAAGGCCAAATCCCTATCAACTATTCCACACCTGCCTCTCAGAAGCTAAAGAAGAGAAACCAATAATAAGGCTTTCAGACTGAACATTTCCAGAAAGTAAAAAGTACTGTAACAAAATTAATGAAAACTATTAAAGATGGTGGATCACAGGATTGGCGCTTCATCTGGAATTCTAGCAACTTTTCCAAAATCCATTGCCACTTAGAAAAGACAATTTGATAAATCTAAAGAGGAGGTCAATTTTTTACATCCTTGAAAATGGAAGAGAACCAAATGAGTTCCAACTGGGCTTGACCATTTTAACCTACCTACAAAGAACAAGGCTCCAAGAAAGGCCAAAGTGGGTCTAGAACAGACATATCAAATATAAGGTAGCTGCGAGCCTTATGTGGCCCACAACACTCCCAAGTGTGGCCTGAACCAGACTGAAATGTAACTGGGAAATATTTAATAAAATAAATAAAAAGACAGTAAGACACAACATATTTTAAAACTACATCAATATATGACCCATGGGGATCCTTGTGTGCTAATTAGTGGTCTATACATGCAGAAGTTTTAATTCTGTGGTCCATAATGAGATGCAACTTAGCATTATGAATGGAATACTGGACTTGGATTTAGAATGACCTGGATTCACATGGTGCCTCTGACACTATCTGTGAAACTATGGGGAAGGCATTTAACTTCTCACAGAATGAGGATAATAAGAGCTATAAGCATCTCTCAGCAGGGTCGTTTTGAAGCTCAAGTGAGATGATCACAAGTAAACATTAAGCACCTACTATATGCCAGGCACTATACTGAGCACCGGGGATACAAAGAGAGGCAGAAGACAGTCCCTGCTTTCAAGGAGCTTACTAGGTAATGTGTGTAAAGTGCTTTACAAACTAAAACATCATAGAAATGTCTGCTTTTTTATGTATTTGAAAGTTTTTGTGGGACAAGATCACCATCACTTTGAGAAAGATATGGAACTTTATACACTGTGCTTCCCCAGCTTCCGATTTAGCCTGGCCAATTTCTAAACCTTTGAAACTGCAGAAAATGTGCCAAACTCCACTGGTAGGAGGAGCTTCTTCACTGGGAGCTCCCTGGATCAATGACATCACAGGTCTGGGAAAAAATAAAGTGAGAGGGAGAAGAGGAAGGATAATCGGACCTCTTAAACTCAGTCTTTGCTATTCTGCATAACCACTATATTAAGGAAACGAGTGATGATGACGTTAAGACCAAATAGATATAACTGGTTCTTGGGGAGGGGGAACACCTGAATCCTCCTATCATGAAAAAGTAACATTTCCTGTCAAAATTAGTGCTTCCACCAAGTTTCCTGGCCCATGTCCTCCCCACTGTCTCCTTCTTCCCTCTGCTTTTCCTCCCTTGCTTCTCCCACAGGAGGAGAGCTATCTCTAGAGACTAGAACTCTTATCTAACCTTCTCATACAAGGGCTATTAACCTTTTTGGTGCCCTGGACCCCTTGAGTGATCTCATGAGGTCTACGGATGCCTTCTCAGAATAATGTGCTTAAATGGGGGCAGCTAGGTGGGCCAAGGCTCCTCTTCCTGGGTTCCAACCCAGCCTCACACACTCACTAGCTAGGCAAGTCTCTTAGCCTCTATTTTCCTCTGTTTCTTCATCTATAAAATGGCAAAAATAACACAACCTGCTGAGCAGGGTTATTGTGAGGGTCAAATGAAATAATAATTACAAGATGTTTATCATGGTACCTGGAATACAGTAAGCGCTATATAAATACTTGCTATCATTGACACTACCATCAGTCTCATTATTAGTACAGTATCTACATAGTAGGTGTCACATAAATGTTGCCTATTATTATTTTCATTGCTATACAGATGATTTAAAACTGTATCAATACATGACCCATGGGGACCCTTGTGTGCTAATTAGTGGCCTATACATGCAGAAGTTTTAATTCTGTGGTCCATAATGAGATGCAACTTAGCATTATGAATGGAATACTGGACTTGGATTTAGGATGACCTGGATACATATACAGATACAGATGACTTCAGAGGAAACCAGCTATATTGAAATATAGTAATGAGAATATATTTTAAAAATGTGTGGATTCTAGATTTAGAGCCCTTGTTCTAGACAAATGGTGTCAAAACTCAAAAGGAACAGGTCCCACTAATGCTTGAGTACATCTACTTGTCTTGCTTGAACTCGAAGCACACACTCAGCCCAGCTCTGGGCATCAGGAGAAGACAGTTCAGCACCAAAGCCAGGCTTGTGGAGGGACCCTCTCCCACCCCTGCTGCCCTGCCCCAGTCTCTTGCCCAGTATCTCAATGCCCAGATTCAGTATCCCCTGATCAGTTTCTTCACCAACTTCCATCTATAATGGGGACAAACAAGTAGATTATGATCATAGGGAATACAAGAAGATATTCTCAAGATCATAAACTCCAAAAAAACAGTCTATATGCTTATATATAGTGCTGGCATTGACATGCAGTGATCGTTTTTAAAACATGAACGTTTTACTTGGAAAAGTATCACAAGATCAGCTGCATCTTTCAGAAGATTCATCATTTTGTCCTGTGCATTTTTTTCTTGTTAATATTCTATCTAGAAGTAGGTCACATGGACAATAATGTCAGATGCATTTTAATCAGACTGTTTGATTTCATGACAGGAAGTGTCACTTGTTATACTTTGAAGAACATCACAGGATCTGACTGCCCCTTCTCAAAGAAATTTCTCATTCTCTCAATGTGTTCTCAATTCTTGGACCCTGGGTCACATCACCAGATGAGTACCTTTGTTGTGTAATAAACAGAACACGCAATCATATGTTGGATGCTTTCAAAATTCCCCATTTGTCTCTTGGGAAAGTTAACATTGGGGATTTCTTGCAGAACTACCAAACACTTAATTAGGATCTGAAAAACAAAAGCATGGTGTTATAGAAAACTCTATATAAAGATCATCTGTAAACAAATGTCCTACTCAACATATGCAAATTGTAAAGCCAGAAAATGGGAAATATTACACTGCTGTTGTACATTGAGAATCGTAGGTTTTTAAAATTAAATCAATTCAATATCATAGCAGGAAAATCAACCAGTAGCTCAGTTTTCCTTCTATCATCTTTACTTTGCATCTTGTGACCCAAGAACTCACATTTTATTATCAAGAACCAGTGTCACAGAGCTATGGCAGCAGATCAACAAGAGCCATGATGGCAGCCGGCCAATGAAGCTCTGAGAAACTCACGGCTGGCCCCTCTCATGAGCTGGACAACGTAGCCGGAGTTAAAACTTTAATTGGGGCTTTACTTTGTATCAAGGACACTTGTGACATCCAGGCTGGGCCACACTGTTCCTGTCAGCAGACTTCGTTTTAAATAATTAAGAGACACACCCCAGCAGGACTTCTGAAGGCCTGCCGTGGCCAGACACTGCCAATGACTGGCTCCACCAGTATGGTAGAATATGCCTGCTACTCTCACTGGGCTACCACAGCGATTTGACTGGACCCAGACATCTTTCCTGGGTAGAGATAGCTATTGCTATCTGGTCTATATTTTGATATATTTAGTTTCCCTGTGATCCTATATAAGGTATTAAACTTATTTTCTCTGATTCCAGAGGACTAAAGTTGGGGGTGCCATGTAGAAGCTGCAGAGAATCAGATTTTGGGGTCACCATAAGGAAAACCTCAACTATCAGAGATGTCCAAAAACTAGAATGGACAGAAAAAGTGATTTCTGAAATGGGAAAAATCAATAACCAATGCCTTGAAATCCTTGGTCTGTGATCATTTATCAGCTATAACTATTAGGATAAGAAATAACTATGTGATGTACAGTAAAGACACAGTCCCAGGTAGAAAAAATCTGTGTATAACCAAACTATGATGTAGTCTCAGCAAAATTTCTGTGTTAGTTAACCTAAGGAGTGTGACTATAATCATTATAACAGCATATAACTATTAATTGTCTTGACCATTATCATCTTTATATTAACATGTAGTTGTTTACTCTGAGTTTCTTGCAGAGGAGGACCTCCTTTTTCATGACAGCCTGCTTGAGGTCAAAGAGAACAAATCTGCCATTAGGCAGCCTTTTTTTCATCAAACAAGAATCAAGAAAACTAGAAATATTTATGAGTCCTATAGGCTGGTGTCTCAGACTATACTGGGTGGAGTACAAACCCCTACCTCTGTTTTCTTAAATAAAGGTGTATTTCTTTGCCCACAAAGGCTCTCAATTTCTTTTTTTTTTTTACTGTTCCCCATCACTGAAAACACAAAACAGAGCTGAACGACTACTCAGGCCATTTGTAGAAGGGATTCTTGCTCAGGCATTAGCTAGATTTGATCACTCCTACAATCCTCTCCAGCACTTCAGGTTTTATGATCATGTGATCCTCCAAGCCTTAAGGAGAGGGCACATTGTCTGAATCATAAGTCTTCTCTACTCTCAGGATGCCATCTTGAATATCAAATTGGTTGAGGCCTTCCTCAAACCCCCTGTACCAGCAGTCTCTATTTGCCAGACTGGAGAAGGACCAGTTCACAAGGGACTGCAAAGTACATTCAAGGACACCAAGCCATACTTCGCTTTGGCTTAGACCTTGATTTACCCAGACCCTCATAGCAGCCCCTAGTGGAAATCAATCTCTCCAGGTCCATACAAGTATGCCTTCTTTCAATGGAAAAAAGGTGATACTACATGGCAAAGAGCTATTTGTGGTTAAGGTAAAATTTGAAGTATGGGAAAACCACATGGGAGGAATTCAGAATGCCCTAATAATCTATACATGGTCCTATATGTTAATTCGCTGCATGGCCAAGGGAAACTCACTTCCTGCTTCAGTTTCTGGATGTTTTTCCCACTTCCATTCTCTCCATTCTTCACTCCATCCCACACACCATCATCAGGCTCCTGCCTGTTCCTGGCCAACTTTCATCCTACGAAGGAGATGCTACCTTTATCTCCCCCACACACACACACCTAAGACATCCTCCATCATCAGCTGCTCTTACCTGGATTGCTGGCACCAGAACAATGTTGTGAAAGATTAGAGGAGCCAGGAGACCATAGCACTGAACGACAGCTTGTAGGGAATAATTCACATCATTTAAGTGGGTACTAAGGTCAATTGCCACTAGCATTCTCTGACATTCCGCTAGTCTTACAGCCTGTTTAAAAAAGGGGGGGGGGAAGACATCATTATGGAGCCACAGTATCTGCTTCCTCAATTGCTCATCTCCAAGGAAAAGAAGAGAGCCTGGTAGCTCAGTAACTCCTTAGTTGTTGCTCAGAAGAAAAACTAAATTTAGGAGTAGCCAAGGGCCGCAAAGTGGCACAGTGCTGGATTTGAACTCAGGTCTTCCTAACTCCAGGCCCAGTACTCTATCCACTGCACCACCTAGCTGTTCAAAAAAAAAAAAAAAACAAAGTGCAATTCAATAGCGACTACAGGATGATGTTTAAGGCCAGGAAGAAACTAACAGTGAAAAATCACAATTGCCATATGTGGGTAAATAAAATAGAGAGAGAGAAAGGCACCCAAGGGTCATGATCAGCTAAAATTTAAAATTTTTTTAAAATATTATTTGATTGTTAAGAAGTAAGGACTAGTAAGCTGATTTTCTTTTTTTTTTTTTAATGGGTTTTTATTTGCATCTTTTATCTTTAAATTGCCTTGATTTTCCCTTATGTCTTCTTTCCCCTCTTCTCCTTCCCACAGGGGGAAGATTATTTCTTATAACAAAAGGGTTATAACAGAAAGGTTATTTTTTATAACAAAAAAAAATTTTAAAGAAAAAAAGGGAAGAGAAGGAAAAAAAGTCAGATCCTTCTTTCCTCCATTTTCAGAATTTTCCATTAATTCTAGCAGCTCCTTGGCTTTTCCTTCATAATCATTCTTGACTACAGTCAATGAATGTGACATTATATGCAGTGTTCCAAACCACTGGACTCCCGTCTCTCCAAAGGAGTGGGAGGAGTGGGGAATGCTTTCTTCCATCTCTTCTGGGAAACTGATTTTCTTATTTGCTGGAAGGTAAGCCCATGAAACCTGAATTTCCAGTAAACATGGTGGAGCAGCCTTGTCCCTGACCATTCTTGGGGACTTATAGATTAGAAGCTTTCTGTCCCAGAAGTGGCTATGGTTGGTCATGTTGGTTTAAGTGTGGAACTTCAGGCTACAAAGAAAGGAAAATCAAGGTCATTTCACATTAGGGACATTTTGCTATCACTTGAATCCACTTACTTGTTGACAGGTGAAAACCTCATTTCCCCTAATGGCATCACAGAAGAGCTTTTGTTCCACAATATTAATGCTACTCGTTACAAAAATACATCTGAGGAAATGGTATAAAAGCACTGATGAAGACTCTGACAAGGTATTGGAATACAACCTACAGAATACAAAAACAAGGAGAGGGTGACTACATGGTGAAAACACAGCCTGGTTCAACATGTATACTAGGTTAATGATGGCTGTCAAGAATCAGATTTCAACAAATATTCATTGGGTATCCACTACAAGCGGCCTATGTGGTGTGTAAGACACCTGTACTGAATGACAAACACACAGCCCACTTGACTATGCTATTTAGAGAAACTTCTCTCCCTGTGAACAAATTCTTCCATATCCTTCAATACTCCTTCCACCTCCTAAAAACCTGGCTGTCAATGCTATATCCTTCAATAACACTCTCCAGACATATGCAAAATCATTTGCAGAATTTGGGGAGGGGGGAGTCTACAGGTGGCAAACTTTTCATATAAGCTGTCCAGTTTTTGGATGAATTGCTCAAAATCTATTACTTTTTTCCTATTCTTCTTCCCTGAAGCATTAGAACAAGAGGAGAGCTGGGCATGCCTTTTGCTGCTTTCAGATGTTTGTTTCTTATTCAGTCACCTCTCACCTTCCTAAATCTTGCCATCTTTATATTGCTCACTTCCTTTTACTATTCTGATCTCAGTCACTTACTAACATACTAACTAATCCTTCCCCAACTTCCTCAATGACTTCAGCACCTTCAGGTCATCTGTCTTCTACCCCATCTCCTAACAATATCCTCATGATTCCAACCTCCGTGTTCAGTCTTCTACCATGCCAGGCTCATAGTTCCATGACCTTCAGTCACCTGCAGTGACTTCCATTTCCATCCCATTTCACAACCCACTCATATGGTAGCACCTGAACTTCTTCTCTGACCACAAGTTCCTGTTCTTCATCTCCTTCCTTTCACCTCCCCCATAACTCCCACTGGCCCTGCTCCTTCTTCCCAAAATGATCTCTACTCTCTGGACAACTCTCTCTCCTTCCAGTCCATCTTACCCAGGCACGTTGCACTTGTCTTATACCCAGATGTATCTATGTGGTATGCTGCTGCCCTAGAAGTCTCTGTCCCATTGACCCTCTCCCCTTCCCAAACCTCAACTTGTCCATTTTCTCTGTCACAACTCCCAGACTGCCAACCTTGTCGGCATATGTCACAACAAGACCAGGCCCACTACACAGTCATACCATCTAAACTTAGTGGTGGCCTCACTGCTTCCCAGCAATCCCTTCATTAATTTTATTGACTTTTTTTCCTATTTGGCAACTTCTCCTGTTCTCCCAAAGGCCTCCTTATCATTTTCATCAGATAATGCCATACTGAAGATATAGCGATCAGATCTGAATTTGCTACAATTTCATCTACTCCCCCTCAAAAAAGATTTATCCTCATTCTTTTGTTTACCCCATCTCTGAAGAAGAATGACCCATCTCCTTCCAAAGTTAACCCCTACAACTATACTCTTGATCTTATCCCCTCCCACATTTCCTAGGACCCTATTCTACCAATCATCTCTAGCCTTTCTCTCTTCATTATTTCCGAAGTTCTTTAAATTCAGTGACATTCCTTACCACTTCCCTAAAAACACTCTTATGTTCCAGCCAATCAGTCAACTATCAATAAGCATCTATTAAGCACTTAGCATATTCTAGGCATGTGCTAAGTATTGGGAATACAAAGAAAGACAAAAACATGGTCCTTGACCTCAAGAAGCCCACAGTCTAACAGGGAAGCCAGCATGTAAACAACTATATATAGCCAGACTATTTCTTACAATCCAAATCACCTTTATGCCATGTGGCCCATCCAACACCAATTTTCTTGATGTATTCCCTCCAACTTGAATGTTCTTGACTCCCTCCCCAATTTCCACCCAAAATCCTACCTATGTTCCAAGATCCATCTCCAATGCTACCATCTTTGGAGAGCTTTCTCTGATATCTCAACCACTTACACTCTCTCTCTATTCTGAATCCTGATAGCACTTTGTACCATTCTTACGAAACTTATCATATGTTCGTTCATGCATTCTTTCACCCAATTCCTATCTGTCCCTGCCTAGCCATGGAATCAATCTTGGGCAAAAATTAGGCAACTTATGAAGTTGGTTTCCTCCGCAAGACCACCTCTCTTTCTGTATCCCACTTAGAGTTAATCTTGACTCCTCCCCCACCTCAGGGACCTCATTTACTCATTTTCTCTTTACCTCTTATCTCCTACAAAATAGGAGAGGGCCCATCATCATTTTTTTAAACTAGAACTGTGATTCACTGATATAGGAAATTCTCATGAAAAGCATAGGATCTGATGAGAGCCTCCTACTAGGGAGGTAACATCTAGATGGAATGCTAGACTTGGAGTTAGGAAGACCTGAGTTCTAATCCTGTGCTAGAGACTTACTAGCAATGTGAGGATAAGAAAGTCACTTAAATTCTTTCAGTATCAGTTTCCTCATCCATAAAATGGAGATAACAATTTCACCTTCTCACAGGGCTGTTAAGAGGTCCAAATGAGGTCATTTATTTAAAGGCTTTGTAAATCATTAAGCACTATATAAAGATTAGCTATTATTGCCAGCCATGCAGACTGGCACTTGGATCAGTACTTGCTCTGCAACTGGGGCCCGAAAGGTAAAGCCACTTGCCCAGGGTCTCCCAGAATGTGTCAGAATTAGGACTTGAACACAGGTCTTCCTGACTCCAAGGCCAGCACTCTGCTGCTTCACCACACTGCTTATCAAAAGCCATTAGTTACTCTTATTACTTTACAATTTGCAATTCAATTAGGAGAATGAGAGTCAGGCAAGAAGCTACTTCAACAGCCCTTTGAATCTTAAGTCGTTTATATATAATTGTGGACTGAGATGATGAATGTACTTAAAGGCACAAAAGGTATCAGCATGCCAGAAATCATACTTCACTTTTTCCTAGACCATCCCTTAAGAGACATGGTAGCAGGAGGGGGAGAAGCAAATATATCCTGCTGACCCTGGTTTTAGATCCTGAAGACCTAGTCCTTGGAGCTACTTGGAAGTAGGGAGAAAGTAATTGTTTCTTTGTCACCTCAACACAAGTCTACCTAACCCCAAAACAGCCTTTCCCATCCCCCTCCCTGGGGTTCCCAGACACATATTTTGCATTTTCTGCCACATTAGGTATTATTCTCATTAACATTTAATGATATTTTTATACTCAGATGTCCCCATTTGACTTTCTAATGATTCTCCATGCTTCATGCATTATTTCTCATTCTCATAATGAAGTTTCTAACAAAACAAGTGTCTCCTTGGAATGCATATGTAATATAGACATAACTGTTAATTATATAGATGTAACTGCTATTCTAGATATTAATTAATATAGATATAACTGTTTTCCATATGTAACAATTATTACATGCCAAACATACTCATTAAGAAACATCTTTAAAGTTAAAATTACAATAAACCACTGAACAGTCTCATTCCAAAGAATGACATCTGCAATAGCTAAATCTATATTTTAAAAAATATTTTTCCAGTTACCTGTGTGGTGTAATAGTTAACATGCTGTTTAAAGAAATAATGGATGTATTTGATGGAGAAGGAGTATAGACAAAATAATCCCAAACTGGTGCAAAGGCTTTCTTGGCCAATGAATATTTACCAACTTGATAGGCAACCTACAAGACAAGGCATATTTCTTGAAATATGATATTTTCATTTGCTTCATGGGCACAGATAATTAAACATAACTTCTATGTCAGCACTATTAATCCCTAATTTAAAATATAGTTTTTTTAGTTTGCTATTCTTCCTTAGAACACCATGGTAGCTGTGTCAACTGGCAAGAGAGACTAACACATTTTAGAACCTCTTTCATTCCTAAATTACATGGAAATTTTAAATCTCTGAAAAGATATTTCAAATCCTCCTAAGCAAAACAAAGATCACATCTGAGCCAAATTAATTTCATTTCCATCTATCTCTGCAGTACATGGCATATATTATAAATATTGTTATAATGAACAATCTGTTCCAAGAGAAACAATCATATTTCCCAAACCAAAAATATGAAATATACTTCATTCTTCCCTGGCTCTGACTGACACTTTAGGGGCTTTCATACAACAAAGGAAAAAGAGTTGAAAAGAGAAAAGAATGAAAGAGAAAAGCTAAGAAGGGGCACAATATGCCTTATGTTTAGCACTTGGAGTAATCACCATATCCCCCATATCCACTTCCCCACAATATACTAATCCCATTAGGACTTGGGTAGGGCCCCAGACAATATATCCCAGATAAACATCTAGAAACTTTCACAACTTTAATCCACTTTCCTTGCAGTCAATGGAATCTACTGTGACTTATGCAGGACCAAACCCCAATTCCTTCTAGCTTTGAATAGCACACATAGATTACCTGCCACCCAGAAAAAGACATGCGCTCCAGCATCCATAGACCATATAGCATGTCTATCCTAAGCCAGCCGAGGACCAGACCCAGAAAAATTGCAACTCAGCAAATGAAAGACCAAAAACCAGATGTTGTGAAACCAGGTTTCCTCATAACCAAATCTGTAATGACTTGTTCTCTTCAGTCAAAGCTACAGGAGCCTCAAACTCTTCACCTTCACTACACTGAGATGAGGTATCCTATGATAACTAGCACTAGTCGGTGCATATAGGTAGCGCTTGACTGCCAACTGGCCCGGAGAGGTGGAGCCACTGCCCTGTCTAAAAGTAGCCCTCAGGAATCACCAATGTGAATCTGAGGCAATTCATTTTCCTGGGGTACCTAGGCCTCAGAACACCTTAGTCTCCAAATGTGTCAGCACCATGGTCAGCAGTTTGCTCCAACTGGCTTCTGGCACTGGTAGCTGCTTATGCCCCATTGGCCCCAAACCTTTCTGAGTATGAGCTCTTTTTAAGAGGAAACAATTTCCACGGACACCCCACACGGCAGTTATTTCTCTTAGCTTTGTGTCATCTGCAAATTGTCATATCTCTGCCCCCTCACCCTTCCTCTCTTCCAGATATTATGATATATCTTAAAGACAACCTCTATCCTCATGAAATGTCATCTTAACAGATTCAGCCCAATCTTTGAGTCTATCAAATTCTTGCTGGATCCTGACTCTGTTATCCAATGTGTTAGCTACATCTCTCCTAGCTTTCCATCATCTGCAAATTTGATAAGCATATATCATCTTGGGCTTTGAAAGAGCCCAGGACGAAGGACAGAGCTAAGGCATTCTCCATGCCTCTAAGAGTTTCTTACAAAGTAACACTGACCTGTTAATGACTCTTCTTTGTCTCTTTCCATTCAACCAGTTCTGAATCCACCTCATGGTAAACATTCATTGGCCTTAACTTTAGCACTCTATTTTATCCCTAAGAATAGCATTATACCTTGATGGACTTTGGCAAATGCTTTGCTAACACTAAAGTACAACATATGGAACTAGCTTCATTTCACAGATAAACTGACACTACATCATTTTATATAACTTAGATCTAGAAGGTGTCAGAAATCATTCAATCCAACTCCATTATTTTACATGAAAGAAAACTGAGACCTAGAGAGTTACATGATGTGACCAAGGTCACACAGGTAGCAACCCCAGAGGTAGATTTTGAACCCATGTCTTCCATCTGTAGGGTCAATATTCTTTTTAATACCACATTATTGATTGTATCTGATTTTACTATTTATCTAGGATCTTACTATGTAGAGCCAAGGCTACATTTTCAATTGCTTACTTTTTATATAGTATCGTTCAGCTGCCATAGAATTGTGTTTATAATGGAGATACATAAAATTATGCCCTTGACCTGAAGAATAAAGCTAAAGATAAACGGAGACAGAAAAGGGGACAATAAAAGGAAATGCAGAGCAACTGTACAGTTCAATAAAAAGTTCCTTAACAATTTCCAGGATTGCACTAATTAGTCACTCTTAAGACAAACAGAGAAGCACTTTAGAGAAAAGCTGATGAAGAATCACCTGACTTTCCTAAAAACCATCAGTTAATACTGAGAAAAAGTATAAAATTAACTCTGAAAGGTAATGACAGCCATTAAGAATTGGTAAAATATGAACTCTAATGCTACTATGGAATTGATGCCAATGAGCTAATTTTTAGGTTGCTAAAATGAAAAAAGAAAGGGAAATGGACAGTGGAAATTTCATAAAAAGGATTAACCAATGTACAACAACTCCCATGAAAAGGAGAACAAAAGAGTCTTAAAATAACCTTAGTCAGAAAACACATAATTTACTTGCCAAGAGAAGCAAGCTAGTGGCGAAAGCCAACACTGGTTTAGAATGTAAACTTGTTTTTAAAATCTTATAAAGATGAAGGGTGATTATGAGGAGTATTGCTTCAAGAAGCAGAGAAAAGCAGCTTTTAAAAACTTAGCAAGGGATCCAAATAAGAAAATCATCCCAAGGACACTAAAGGACAAAAATGGGGGGACGATGAACAAAAGAAAAATGGAAAAGATCTATAAAAATCTTTAGTGCCACCACACCTGAATTCTAACACCATGGCCCCAGAGATGTTTATAGAAGAAGTAAAAATGGTATTAGAGAAAACAAATCTGAGGAGAGCAATTTGACTTTTTTCAAGCATACCCAGAAAAGATCATGTTGGGAGCAATATAATTGTCAGGTTTTTGAGGGATTAATTCACCAAATAGATGAAGAAGAGAAAAAATCAAAAGACCTGGAAAAACTCAGATTAGACCTTATTAATGTCACACCCCACTCCCCAAAAGACAGCTGAAAGAGTGCTAGGAACTACTCTCCTATATACCTACTTTCCTTCTCCATAAAGAAAATCTTTTTTTTTTGGCAATTGGGGTTAAGTGACTCACCCAGTGTCACACAGCTAGTAAGTGTGAAGAGTTTGGTCTGAGGTCAGATTTGAACACAGCACCTAGCTGTCCCTCCCTAAAGAAAATCTTGATGACAGTTACCTACATATAAACAAAGGGAATCCCTAATGAGAGTGTTAGTAGGGAATAGTCAGGTTTTCACAATATTTTATAATGGATCACCTTTTTAGGTAAACTTTGGGGGAGGCATAGACAAGAGTCACACAGTTGGGTAGTCATGAATAAGTTGTGATGTGTGCCACTGGAGAGAATGACCAAATAATGAGACTACAGATCTCTCTGAGCGACTGAAAATGGAAACTAAAACACTAATGTTACCTTCAAACAAGTATCAGAGAAATGAACAATCCTAAGAAACAGAAATGGTAGCAACTTCTGAAGGATCCTTCTATCACTAAATCAAAAAGACTTCAATCTGGTTTCTATGTGGAACAGTTTACTAAAGAGTAGTAAAAAGTGAACCCAGCCACCTATCAAATCATGGTGTTCTCAATTTGTTAATGCAAAGCAGAAAAATAATCTCCAAATGCAAGCTCAGTGCTATGCTAATAATATCTAACATCAATTTACTTCCTGGCAGACCTTGGACTGCAGAAGGAGACAATTTCCTTTGAAGAATCAGACAAAAAAGACCAGGAGAGCAATCATTGGCTACAGCAGAATTGGTCTTGACCAAAAGAAAAAAAAATGTCTTTCCTACCAAATAACTTTCTTCCACCAAACAGAGGGCTGTGTAAAGATTCAGAGATGATACCCAAACAAAGAAAATAACTGGCCAAACAAACAATCTCAGCTGGTGTTGAAAGAATCCTTGCAGTTTTAAGACAGATATTTGGTGTCAAATACCTCATAATTTTAATTTATGAGCTAGTCAACTTGGGTGGAAAATATTTTTAGAACAGAGCAAATTGAAAATATGAAGAAATAAGCACAATATTCCACATCAGCATAATTAACAGACTGAAAACCAAATAAATCTTGGGCTGGTAGAATCACAAACCTCCTTTTTCCCCCTTTGAGACCAGACTTATATTAGTTAGTGATGTCATCACATACATATATCTAGAAGACATTTAAAGGAAAGGGAAGAAAGTAGGAAAGAGAAATTAAGATGCAATACTAAGAAAACAAGATCCAATGTAGTTTCAAGCTGAAGAGAAAGCATGTGACATAGTGGGCTCTGGAATCAGAGGACCTGGGTTCAAAGTGTATAGCCCTCAAGTACATCATTTTAACTCTCTTGGCTTCAATTGCCTCATCAATAAAACTAGAAAAATTGACTACAAAATCTCTAAGGTTCTTTCACCTTTCACTTAATCACAGGTAGTTCCTTCTCCAGATATTCCTCTTTACATAATTTCTACATACTGATTTAATTCTATTTTTATCTTTATAGTAATGCTCTCAGTGTTTGCTGCTAAAGAATTAGACTAATAAATAGAATTTTAGAAAAGTTAGATATGTTAGAACTCAAAAGACTACTGAAGGGAAATAGAAAGGAGTATACCTAATTTTAGATGTCTATGGTACCTTTACAAAAATTGATCAAATATTAAGGCATAAAAACCTGACAAATGCCAAAAAAGCAATTATTATAAATGTTAAATGCATCCTTTTTGAACCATAATGCAATAAAAATTACATTCAGTAAAGGGACTTTGAAGTATAGATTAAAAATTAATTGGAAACTAAATAATCTAATCCTAAAAAACATATGTGATTCAAAAAGAGAGCACTGAGGAAGAAGGCATCGAGATGCAATGGACTGTGGCCTGCAAGCAGATGACAAGATAACCAGGTCTAATGAGTTCAAGGTGAACCAGCCTCCAGAGCCTTCTCAATGAAGTTCAGCCCCAACACCTCCCAGTTCCTGCTGGTCTCTTCTGGGACACTTTAGTCAGGCTCTACGATGTCCCTGCCAACACCATGTATCTCAAATACCAACACACTGGCACCATCCTCAACTGTGCTTTCTATGATCCAACACATGTTTAGAATAGGGGATTGGATCATCAGTTGAAAATGCACAACTGGAATGCTGATCAAGAAAACGTTGTTGAACCTATGATGTACCTATTAGATGTGCTGAATATTGTCCAGAAGTGAATGTTATGGTTACTCGAAGTTAGGATCAAACAGTTAAATTGTAGGATCCCAGAACTCCTTGTAATGCAGGAACCTTTTCTCAGCCAGAAAAGGTTTACATGCTCTCTGTGTCTGGAGACAGATTAATTGTGGGGACAGCTGTAGCAGAGTGTTGGTATGGGACTTGAGGAATATAGGCTATGTGCAGCAGAGAAGAGTCTAGTCTAAAATGCCAGACTCGTTGTGTACAAGCATTTCCAAACAAGCAGGGTTATGTGTTGAAGGCCAAGTGGCAGTTTAATATTTGGACCCAAGTCCTGAGGTACAGGAGAAGAAATATGAATTCAAATGTCACAGACTAAAAGAAAATAATATTGAGCAGATTTATCACATCAGTGCCATTTCCTTTCACAGCATTCACAACACATTAGCTACAGGTGGATCTAATGGATTTGTTAATATTTTGGATCCATTCAACAGAAACGTTTGTGCCAATTCCATTGGTATCCCACTAGCATTGCATCACTTGCTTTTAGTAATGATGGGACCACACTTGCAACAGCAGCATTATATATGTGTGAAATGGAGGACACTGAACATCCTGAAGATGGTATCTTCATTTACCAAATGACAGATGCAGAAACAAAACCCAAGGAAACTGGGTCTCATAAAGGTTTGGAGTGATTTGCCTAAGGCCCAGAAGGAAGAAGAGAAGTCACATATGGCCACAAGTACAGTAGCTTAGGCCTGGTTTCATGTTCCCCACTCTCCTGTTTACCTAACTTGAAACTTTCTAACAATACATGTCTGTCACAAACACTACTTATAGTACTATAAAAATTGATATTTAGCAAAAAAAAAAAGAATGTGTGATTCAAAGAACAAATCATAGAATCAATCAATCAACTCACAACTAGAAAAACTAGAAAATAAAGAAATTAAAAATCTCCATTTAAACACAAAAAAAGAAATCCTGAAAATCAAAGGAGAGATCAATAAAACTGAAAGTTAAAAACTCCATTGAATAAAACTAATAACTAGTTTTATGAAAAACAAAATAAACCACCAGCTAATTTGATTTTTAAAAAGAAGAAAACTGAAGAATCAGACTACTTTCTTCAGTACTCTATGCATGCTATTAAAAAGTATGAGCAGCCTTGGCACAAGCTGCAAAAGATAAGACATTGCTTGAGATGGAAATTACCTGATTAGAACCAAGTAAACAGAAGCTAAAACAATATTTATTTTTAATCTGAATATAGCAAGACGGCAGAAGGTTTTGATTTCATTGGGATGGCTAGCTTTTCCACTGCCAGAAATCACAACCATGAGTTACTATATACCAAAAAAAAGTCATTTTCTGTGGTCATCTCTTAAGGCATGAATCCTGAAAGACTGAGCTAGCTTCAGACAAATCTGTTTCTGGCCATAGCTACTTTCCAGCCTGGTAGCACCTGACAAGCTCACAAAGCCTTTAAGAAACTGCAATTGTCTCTGTGTCACAATGAAGCTTCAGAGTTGGGCTTTATAGAAAATTCATTTGTCCTCACAAAAAAGAGGAATTCACACGCTTTTGTCTTGCTCTAAACCTAAAGCTTTTGGAATTTGCCCATCTAAAACACAAAGTAAGAAAAAAACAGATTTAGAAAAGGAAAGATTTGGATCATTCATATAAGGAAGTGTTCAAGTTCCACTTCTGACTCATACTGACCTTGTGACCTTGAACAAGTCACCGAATCTCTCATTGCCCTTGAGAGCTAAGATTCTTAAGTTGCAGAGGGGGTATTGATAAAAGGAATTGTCCTCTTGTGGGAGTACCTTATACCAATGAAATCATGGATTCAGTCCCTAATCCTATTCCCTACAAAAAGAGGGAACCCTAAAATTATTTGGATTGGCTTAGTTTTTATTCATTTTCTATTTGCATCACGGTGAATTCTTAGTAGATTCTTAGTTTTGTAGTCAGATATCTCCTCGTTTCTCGCCCTGGACTTCTCTGACTGTCTTTCCCGTCATGCCCCAGGAAGCTTATCACTGGGATAATCTCATCCTGCAAGATCTCCTCAGCCTTGGTACTCAACCTCATTACTGTCCTCTGTGTCTCTGGAGGATAGGGCCATGAACTGCAGACCTCCATTTAAGGAGAGAGCTTACCCCAGACATCTCATTTCTCACCTGGTTACACTCCTCTGGGACTTATCTCACTTCTCTGTCCTGACCCCACAACAGGTACCTTCTTCCCCTCTGCCTCTTTTCAGTTTCCTTTTATGTATTATCTTCCCCCATTAGACTGTAAGTTCTTTGGGGGCAGGGCCTATCTTTCTTCCCCCATACTTGTTTCTCCAGTGTTTAGCAGAGTGTCTGGCACATAGCACGTGTTCAGTAAACATGTACTAACTATTGACTGTTTTGGTTATCCGCTGTGGGGTTTTTTATCAGAAACTAAAACTTGAAGGGGGAGAGACAGACAGACAGACAGACAGACAATGTTTCACTGCTTAAAACCTGTCCTACCTCCGTCAGACATAAACGAGTAGTAACAGTAGAAAGTGGTGTATAAACCAGAATTGGCTTTGATGTCTCTCCAATTGCCTCCCCAATAAGTTCTCCATCACAGCCATAAGCAGCAACTGCAAATATGTATTTTTCATTCGGCTCTAAATCAACAACTTTTAAAAGGGTTTTATCATTAGCAGGCACCTATTAACAAGTAACATATCAGATTACTTAGTTGCATTAAGATAACATCCACATTGCTTTAAAAAAAGTAATTCAATAAATTACCCCTCCAAAATAACTCACATTTTTTTATCCCCTGTAAAATACAGGGTGTCCCAAAATCTTAATGCAGTTTTAGGCTTTAATAGCTTAAAACTATGACTTTGGGGAAACCCTGAGCAATGGGAGATTAGTTATATTTCTTTCTTTGTTTCTTTCTTTTTTTTTTTTTGCCTTTTGGTGAGACAATCAGGGTTAAGTGACTTGCCCAGATAACACAGCTAGTAAGTGTCATGTGTCTAAGGTCAGATTTGAACTCAGATCCTCCTGACTCCAAGGCCGGAGCTCTATCCACGGCACCACCTAGCTGCCCCTGTGATTAGTTATATTTCAAGTCACAATTCAACAGATTCCCTGAAGCAAACAGTAAACATCATTCTTATTTAAGAAAAACAAAATAATTTGTACTAATTAGGCAATTTTAGGAAAAATATATGCCATAGACAAGTGGTGACTTTGACTTACTGGTTCTCCAGAGTTTGAAAGACAATGGCTGTTCAACCTTACTTTTCCAGTACCTGTTCCCATCTGACATCCCAAAATGGTGTACCATTCAACCTTTCAGAAGAAAAAAACAGCCTCATCATGTGCAATCTAAAAAAGGTATTTAGCTTGTCACATCTCATTGCATCAAGAAGGAATTACTTTCTGAATAAGCATGTCATCAAGTTCTCCGATGAATTTTAAGCTCATAATGGTATGAGACAAAAATTTACAAAATATCTCAATTAATTTTTAGGTAAAATAACAGATTTAGTGGAGCCTGCTACTATGACTCAACTGAGTTCTGGTTTTCTAAGAGGTTCTTTAAGCTCTACCTTGACATTTAAATGTTAATACCTCTACTAAGATGTCAACAAGGGGGACAAGTTTTACCTGTAATCAAATGTATTATCTAACATACTAGCATTAAAATATGAGACCTGAGGAATAACTTCATAAGCCACCTTGTCCTCAGGTATCACTGTGGCTAATTTCCCATTTCTCCCCTATCTCCTATTAGGCAGTAGATGAAAGGGGCCCAGGAAAAGGCAGACAGAAGGAAAATATGGTGATTGGTGATGTCTGAGTAGATCAAGCAGTGACCTGGCATTTGTGTCTGCATCTCCTCTCCAATACACCCTCATCTCCATTACATCTTAAACAGTCTCAACGGCAACACTTGAAGCCTAGACAAAAAGACGCAAGGCCTCTAGGGGCAGAAGACTGATTAAAAGGCTGGGATATAGTGGGTGGAAAAAATGAGTTCTTTTATAAAAGATTTTTGAAACTCAGTTCCCCAGTTTTCATACAGAAAACTTAAAGGCTATGGTATCATTAACAAGTTAGGTCACTATTGCTCAAAGTTTAAATTTTTAAAAAGCTAAAATCCATAATTTTAGAATTAAAAGTCTCTGCAAAACAAATTTTCAAGTTTTATTTAAATAAAGCCTATTTATTTAAATAAAGTCTATTGAAAATAACACAAAGTATGTTCTAACTATAAAAATAGCATATAATCAATGTATTTGGAGAATTTTTAAATACCATATCATCTTTAAAAAAAAGAAGTATTAATTCTCATAGATAATTTTAGAAATTTTAATTCCCTAAAATTTTTTATTTTGTAAAATAAAGTACCTTAAAAAGAGATTTTGGTAAGATATTTTCAGTGGCTGAATTCTTAAATTATGAAAATCCTCTACTTAAGTAAACACATAGCACCACCTAGTGCTGTAGCCAAAGACTAATATTTTCTGAAATACATGGCATTGGTGGACATAAAATAAAGTATTAGATGCTAGTTCTCAAAAGTAAAGGTTAAGCATTAGAGACTTATGTTCTCTGCTTTCCAAGTGTTCTGAAGCTAAAATATAATGACACATAATGACTCGCATTTACATGGTACTTGGCACTTTCACAACCTATAAGGCAGAGGTGGAGGTAAAGATTGTTACCCATTCTGCACAGATTAGAAAGCTAGGGTTTAGGGAGATTTGAGTGACTTTAGACATCAACTACTTTAACTTCTTCATTTTAAAGATGTGGTAACTAAAGCTTTGTGAGGCTGTGACCATTCCAAAGTCAAACTACCAGTAAAATGTTGGAGGTCTTCAAAGCCTAATCCAGTGTTTTCTCCCACCCTTCCCCTCCAAGGAAACACAAGCGCTTTGAATAAGGCCTGCATTTCTGTCTTGATAAACCCAGCACCTAGCCTAGTAGCTGGCACATAGTAGGAGCTTAATAAATGCTTGTTGATTGAATGCTTATACTATGCTGCCTGTCACAATGAAATGACTAAAATGAAACATAGCCAATGTAAACATATAAATGAAAACTTTAACAATAAGCCAACTTCCCAGACATCGTATTCAAAATTCAGTATATTCAAAATATAGATACAGTATTTCAAACTACAGTTGAGCCCCATTATTATTAAACACATTCATTTCAATTCAATTTAACCAACATTTATCAACAATCTACTATGTCTAAGGTGATAGTAATACAACAAAACAAAAGAAAAGACCAGTGGCTTTTAAGAGCCTTACTTTCGACCAGGGACAATGTGATAAACACGTAGATAATCATAAGACAAAGTAGGAAGTGATGGGGTCAAAGAAGAAATCCAGAGATCTCTAGGAATATTCAGAGAGGCACAGACCACCATTACCACCCCAGTGAGAAGGTTTCACAGAAGAAGTGGTACATGAGCTGAGCCTCAAAAGAAAATAAGGAAGCTGAAAAGGCAGAGCTAAGAAAAGAGCATTTACCAATCATGGTGGACACCATGTGCAAAGGAATGGATGCAGAAGAGAGGGCATGTTGAGTTCAAGTCCAATTTGGCTGAAACATCAATTACATTTGTGGAGTGGGGGAAGGGTAAGGAACCAAGAAGTAGATGGAGAGAGAGGAAAGTTAAGAGAAAGGGGAGAGCAATCAGTGGGGAAAACTGATGAAAATGGCAGGAAAGGATAGAATTCAGAGTATAAGGAAAAAAATTGGTCTGAGCAAGAATGGTCACATCATCATCAAATCAGAGGAGGAGGCTGGTGATTTGGAGGCTTTAAGATACAAAACAGAAAACAGTGAGAAGCCTTAGCACCTAAAGATGTATTTTTCTCAGTAAATTAGAAGGCAAAATCATCTGCTGAGAGGGAAGGGAATGGGACAATAGAGAAGTCACGAGTCAGAACCCGAAAACTAAGGGAAAAGCGGAAATACACACAAACAAACCTACAATGCCTTGTGCTTCTGCCCTTTTATTGTACACTATTAAAGAAGAATTCGATTTTCAGTTCTGAACCATATGTTTAGTATCATGTAAACATAACCCAACATCTCATTTAGAAGCAAGTAGCCCAAATCTTGAGTATCTCAAATATTTGTATTCAGCAAAACCTGGAAAGAGGCAGAATAGCCTGGAACCCAGGAAGATCTGGGTTGAGTCAAAACAGTTGGAGTTGATATTCATCTAGAATCAACAAATTTTTGTTTGTTGGAAAAACTTTGGGAACTGGACAACTGCGCATTGCCTGATGCCACAATGATGGCTGTTGACTTTCTGAGCCATGGGCAACCTTCACCAAAAGACTGGATCCACAGCTCCCCTCCACGAACTTCCATAGGCCTGTGTGTTTACATATTTAACAGAGAATATGTCATAGTTATGTGGGGGCCTAATTTTATCTATTCTTCAAATGCCCCCCATATTTCTGGGTCTGGTCAGTCAGTAAAACAGCAGCCCTATATACCATGTGAAAAAAATAACATTATAAAGAAAAGGATAAAAATGCTGAGTGCCTACTCGATGTGTCAGTGACTAAAAAAAGAGAAAGTAGGATATTTTCAGATATATGCAGGACTATCCTGAGAACAATCAAATAAATACTGCTGAAATAACCTTCATTACAGTTACTGATAGTTCTCTCATCCATACAGTACTATAAATTTATGGTGAAAGAATTACCTTTTTCTCGCAAACAAATGGAGCAGGTTTAAATGTCACTGAACAATGAGTTCTAGAAATCAGTATGGGAGGAAAAGGAACTTTGCCACAGTGTAGTTTACCATCCTCTGCATCCTTCTGATATGAGTACAGGGCACTTTGCTCTAATTCAGTCTTCTTAATTAAGGACAATGCTTCCTGCATTGAAGTATAAAAAAAAGAAATATGAATATTAGTGTATTGGGCCTCATTTAATTATAGACTCCTTTCTTATGCAGGAGATGGTCTTTGACTTATGATGAAACATGGAACCTTGTATTAAATAATAAATACTGAGAAGTCATTGGCTGCTCCTCAAAAAAGTTAAGAATGATGACCAAGTAGCACCATAAATGATCTAACACATATAATATTCTTGTATTTGTGGCAACATGCTCCCTATGATGCATGAATCATAGGTCTTAAAACTCTAACTGCCTTTACCTAATTCTTTGCATTTATTTTTATAGTGTCTTATAAATATTTTTTTTATAAATTCTATTCTTTTTATGTGTATACTTATTGTATATATGGCATATATTATGTGTGTGTGTGTGTGTGTGTATATATATATATATATATATATATATATATATATATATATATATATATGGAGAGAGAGAGAGAGAGAGGTTTATTTATTGTATATGCTACACACCTTTAAAAACTGGGTGAGCCCTGTTTTTTGTATGTGGGATTGCCTGGAAAAGGGAATAACATACATACTCAGTTAGATATAGAAACCTATCTTACTCTGCAGGGAAGCAGAAGGGAAAGAAGATAAGAGGAGGGAGAGGGCTGATATAAGGGAGGGTAAATTGGGGGATGTAGTGGTCAGAAGCAAAACATTTGTGAGGAGGAGAAACAAGGTGAAAGAGGAGGAGGAGGAAGAGAGAGAGAGAGAGAGAGAGAGAGAGAGAGAGAGAGAGAGAGAGAGAGAGAGAGATAAACAGGGGAGAATAAGAGGGAAATGGAGGGAAATACACAATTAGTAATCATAACTGTGAATGTCAATAGGATGCACTCACTCATAAAACGGAAGCAGAGAGCAGAGTGGATGACAAACTAGAATCCTAAAATATGTTGTTTACAAGAAACACACTTGAAGCAGAGACACACACAAAGTAAATGTAAGGGGCTTGGGTAGAATCTGTTATGCTTCAGTTGATGTAAAAAAAAAAAGCAGGGGTAACAATTATGATCTCGGACAAAGCAAAAGCAAAAATCGATCTAATTAAAAGAGATGAGCAAGGAAAGTACATCTTGCTAAAAGATACTAGAGACAATGAAGTAATATCAATGCTAAACATATATGCAAAAAGTTAAGTGTGTTACAGGAGGAAATAATAAAAACTATGTAAACCTCAACTTTACCCTCTCAGAATTAGATAAATCTAACAAAAAAATAAGAAGAGTTGAAGGGATGATTAGAATTTTATAAAAGTTAGATATGATAGACCTCTAGAGAAAATTGAATGGAAATACAAAGGATACACCTTTTTCACAGCAGTACATGGCACCTACACAAAATTGACCACATATTAGGGCATAAAACCCTCACAGCTAAATGCAAAAAAAAAAAAGTTCTAGAAATATTAAATGCATTTTTTCAGATCACAATGCAATAAAAGTTACATTAATAAAGGGCTGTGAAGAGATAGGTTAAAAATTAATTGGAAATTAAATTACTCTAATCCTAAAGAATGAATGGGTCAAAGAAAAATCATAGAAACAATAATTTCATTAAAGAGAATGACAACAATGAGACAAAATTTATGGGATGCAGTCAAAGCAGTACTTGGGAGAAAATTTTTATCTCTAAATGCTTACATTAATTAAATATAGAAAGAGTAAATCAACAAATTGGGAACGCAACTAGAAAAAATCAGAAAAAGAACAAATTTCAAATCCCCAATTAAACATCAAATTGGAAATCCTGAAAATCAAATGAGAGATTAATAAAATGGAAAGAAAATCACTGAACTAATAAATAAAAGATCTGGTTTTATGAAAAAAAATGATAAAATAGATAAACTACTGGTTAATTTGATTTAAAAAAAAAAAAAAGAAAACCAAATTACCAGTATCAAAAATGAAAAGGGTGAATTATCACCAATGAAGAGGAAATTAAAGCAATTATTAGGAGCTATTTTGCCTAGTTATATGCCAATAAATCTCACAATCCAAGTGAAATGGATAAATATTTACAAAGACAAAAATTGCCCAGATTAAAAGAAGAAGAAATAGAATACTTAAATAACTCCATCTTAGAAAAAGAAATTGAACATGCCATCAATGAGCTCTCAAAGAAAAAGTCCCCAGGACCAGATGGATTCACAGATTGATTCTACTAAACATTTAAAGAACAATTAATTCCAATACTACATAAACTATTTGGAAAAATACCCCCCAAAAAAAAGTCTTACCAAATTCCTTATATGTCACAAATATGGTGGATACTTACCTAAACTAGCAAAAGGAAACTAAGTAAATATTTTTTTACATATAGTTCTTTTTCCTTTTTCTTTGATCTCTCTGGGATACAAACCTAGTAGTGGTATTGCTGTGTCAAAAAAAATATGCAGTTTTATAACCCTTTGGGCTAGACCCGAAACATTCTCCAGAATAATTGGACCAGTTCACTGCTCTTCTATCAGTTCATTAGTGTGTCCATTTTCTTTTATCCCCTCCAGCATTTGTCATTTCTGAAAGGTATGAGGTGGTATTTCCCTAATCAATGGTGATTTAGAGCATTTTTTCATATGACTTTGATTTCTTCTTCTGAAAACTACTGATTTATATCCTTTGACCATTTATCAATTGGCTCTAATTTTTGTAAAGTTGACTCAGTTCTATACTCAACATATATTTGAGAAATGAGGACTTTATCCAATAAACTTGTCATAATTTTTTTAATATTACTTCATTGTCTGTGTTACTTTTTAGCATAAGTTCCCCAATTATCTCCTTTAATTAGGGCTATTTTTGCTTTTACTTTGTCTGAGATCATGATTGTTACCCCTGCCTTTTTTATTTTGGCTGAAGTATACTAGATTCTGCTCTAGTCCTTTATTTTAACTCTGTGTGTGTCCATCTGTTTCAGATATGTCTGTTGTAAATAATATATCATTGGATTCTGGTTTCTAATCCACTAGGCTGTCTGCTTCCATTTTATGGGTGAGTCATCCCATTCAAATTCACAGTTATTATTATTAATTCTGTATTTCCCTCCATCTCATTTTTTTCTGTTTCTTCCTCATTCTTTTTATCCTATCCCTCCTCAAAAGTCTATTTTGCTTCTAACCAATGCCTCCCTTTAATCTGCCCCTCCCTTTTATCACATACATTCCTCTTTCTCTTAAGTCCTTCCCTTCTTATTTCCCTATTGGGTAAGTTACATTTCTATACAACTGAGTGTATACATGCACACATACATATGTACATATACATATACACACACACACACACACACACACACACACACACACACATATATATATATATATATATGAAATTTCCCTCTTTGAATCAATTCCAATGAGAGTGAGGTTCAAGCATGTTTCTCCACCTCTTCCCCATTTTCCCCTCCATCATAAAAGCTCTTCCTTACACATCTCTCTTGAGTGAGAAAAATTTCCTATTTTACTCTTCCCTTCCCCCTCCTCCAAGTGCATTTCTCTTTCTCACCTCTTTATTTTTTTTATATCATTCCAACATAATCGACTCACACTCATGCCCTCTGTCTACGTAAACTCCTTTGATAAAGTTAAATGATAAAGTTCTTAGAAGTTACATGTATGATCTTCCCATACAGGAATGTGAATATTTTACATTTATTGAGTCCCTTATGATTACCCTTTCATGTTTACCTTTTTATGCTCCTCTTGAGTCTTGTGTTTGAATGCTAAATTTTCTATTCAACTCTGATCTTTTTATCAGGAATGCTTGAAAGTCCTCTACTTAATTAAATATACATTTTTCCCCTGAAGGATTACACTATTTTGCTATGTAGGCTATTCTTGGTTATAATCCTAGTGCCTTCTAGAATATCATATTCCAAGCACTCTTCTCCTTTAATGTGGAAGCTGCTAAATCTTATGTGATTCTGACTGTGGCTCCGTGATATTTGAATTTCTTTTTCTGGCTGCTTGAAATATTTTCTCTTTGACCTTGGTTTGGAATTTGGCTATAATATTCCTGGGAGTTTATATTTTGGGATTTCTTTCAGAAGGTGACCAGTGGATTCTTTCAATTTTTATTTTAGCATCTGGATCTAAGATATCAAGGCAATTTTCCTTTATAGTTTTGTGAAATATGATTTCTAGGATCTTTCTTCAATCATGGCTTTCAGGTAGTTCAATAATTCTTAAATTATCTCTCCTCAACTTATTTTCCAGGTCATTTATTTTCCCAATGAGCTGTTTCACATTTCCTTCTATTTTTTTCATTCTTTGATTTTGTTTTATTGTTTCTTACTGTCTCATATAGTCATCAGCTTCCACTTGCACATTTCTAATTTTTAAGGAATTGTTTTCTTCAGTGAGATTTTATATCTCTTTTTCCATTTGGCCAATTCTGTTTCTTAAGGTGTTGTTCCCTGTAGTATTTTTTGCATCTCTTTTATCAAGCTGTTAATTCTCTTTTCATAATTTTCTTGCATCATTCTCATTTCTTTTCTCAATTTTTCCTCTAGCATTCTTATCTCTTTCTTTAACTCTTCCAGGAATTCTCATGGGGTTTGGGTCCAATTAGCTTTTTTCTTTGAGATTTTTTGGTAGCAGTTTCCACATTGTTGTTCTCCTCTGGTTTTGTTTTGGTGTTTCTTGCCACTGTGGCAGGTTTTTATGGTCAAATTGTTTGTTGTGTTGTTGTTTGCCTATTTTTCCAGCCTATTTCCTGACTCTGAACTTCATGTTAAAGTTGGGCTCTACTCACCTGGCAATGGGGAGACACTGTCCCAAGCTTTAGGCTTTTTCATACTGCTGTTTTCAGAGCTAATTTTGAGGGTCTGCAAGTTTTTGGTGCTTCCAAGGTGGTGTGATCCAGGAAGAGGTCTCTTGGTCTGTGTTCTGGTCTTTACCCAGGAAGGGCCCATGGTTCCCTATAGCCACAAGTGCTCTTCTTTGACTCAGAACTATAACTGGGGCCTCTGTTGCCTT